ATATGCAGCTTAGAGTTTACAATAGAGCCTACGGCTTAAGATGTATTATGAATGTAAATAGTCTGCTTTACTTACGTTTTCTTCTCAACATTCTTTTTTCCGTCTGGTCATTGAAACCTATGTGCACATATTCTGAAAAGATATGAAAAAACATTAAAATGCTTTTCATTTCAGTAATAAACACATTCCACATGCCTTAGCCACATGAACAATAAGAGAGGTGAGGTGAGTTCAAATTGGGTTTAATGTCACGTCCAAGGTGTGTGTGTGTGTGCGTGCGTGCGTACGTGCGTGCTTGTACTAGTCCGGATTGATGCTAGCCTAATGAATACCCTACTCAAACACAGTACATGACTCCAAGCTGACCAGTCCCTGTTTTACCTCCTTAATGCCGAGCACCAGACAGGGTAACAACAAGTATCATCTTTTAACGTCTTTTGCTATGGCGAGGCCAGGGATCGACAATGTAAGACTTAAGACTTAATTATTGATGGTAAATAAGAAAATCATTAACCATGTTGTAATCTGTGTGAAAACACAATCATGTGCAACCAACGATGTCGGATTAACGAGACTTGACTGTATTTGTTTTAAAAAGATAAAAAATAAATCATGATTTAGGCAGAATATGAAGGATAACTTGAATTTCCATTTTCACTGTTCTGTAAATAACTTTTGCCCCACTGACATTTTCCCAGAATCTATTATTAGCAGATGGAAAACACTACTGGAATACAAAGTGTATAGAAGTTCTTTTAAAAACAATAAGTCAAACCAACCAACTCAAACCACTATGCACTTCCTGTCACAAAACATTTAACTTCTATCACATGTCTCCCTAATTTCGATAATACAATAACAAGTTCTTGTCATTAACTGTAACCATGAACTGGACTTCAAAGAGAACATCAAATTATAAGAATTTTTATACTCAGATGCTACTAACATGAGTTAATCTGCATGTCATCACATAAAATGTCAGCTTAAAACCCAGAGGTTTCAAAATATATGAAAACTGGAGTTACTTGGCATAGGTTGCAGCTGGGTAACAGATGGGAATGATCAGACGGAAAAGATATTATGTTATTCAGCATAAACTGCGGAAATGGTTCTTTAATGAACACAAATGTCAATTTCACTACTGCCGCAATGCATTTCTGTGAGCAATTTCAAGAGTCACAAATAGTGTGATCCTTCAAGCAAAGTTTCCGTTTCAAAGAGCTAAAAAGTTCAGATGAATTGCCTAGTATGAAAAAGGGGGACAGACAATTGATTTTCAGTCAGGAGAGTTTAAGCAATTAATTGATATGAAATAATAAATATTGACACATAAGGAAGAACATGATCCATCAGTATCTTAGCAAATCGTTGCAATCTGAACATAATCATAAAAAAATACTTGTGTGAAACGTGATGAAAACAATTCAATATATGAAATTTCCTTCAACAATGCAAACAGTAATTACATACCAAAAGCCATCCTCCTCCAGTGCCTCCACCATCATGCCAACATTGAATTTGCAGGGGGGCATCTATGGATAAAATCAGTGTTATGTGTGTTTATATTAAAGCATGGTACATGTGATTGTGGAATAAACACGCTGAATGTGAAGCAAACATAGGCCTAGTTAGTTACAACATAGTTAATTGGCGATTAAATTACTCACCATTGTCTCTTATATGTTATTACTTCATAAATGGATTTTATTTTACGGGCACCAATTTGGTGTCGTACCGTGTAAACACAAAATGGCGACGTGTGCTGGAGTTACACACGCGACCTATCATTGTAGAAAAAAACAACGCAAGATAAACATATTTTTATTGCATATATAAGGTTTGTGTGCTCACTTGTGACGTGCTTCATTCCAGGTCGCCTTATACACAGAGTATAGGATTTTGGGTTGATTTTGAAGGCGTGTACAGGGGGGTCGTCTTATACGTGGGGTCGCCTTATACACAGCGATATACGGTACTAAGTGGACAAAGAGGACTCAGTCATTTCTGTATATTCTATTTTGAAGTTTTCAATTTATATTTTAACAATTTAAAGCAAGGGCATATCAGATTGTTTGAACTGGATACTGATAATTCATATCTTACACCAGATGCTGTATGACAAATAAGCAAAATAAGGGAAGAAAGATACACAAATACAATCCACATTGTATTAACACAGTTCCTGTGCCTGTGCCTGTGTTAATTTCCAGTTTTTCACAATACTGATCTTGCTATAGGAGTGAGTGAGTGAGTGAGTTGGGTTTAACGCCGTTTTAACAGTATTCCAGTCATATCCTAGCGTGTCAGCTTAATGTGGGAGGAAAGCCCGAAGTGATGCAGGTCTTAGACGTCTTGCTATAGGAAATGTGGTGATTATCATATTCATAAGACAGTGAATCATTAGCTCTCATCTGAATAAAAAACATGTGGCGAGTAATGTTGCCAAGGATCATAATCAGGGCGAGTCATCAATATCAGTTATAGACATGCACAGCAACAGTGTCCATGGCCCATGAAAATCCACATACCGTATTCGACGCAATAAGCGCCCCGCTCTAATAAGCGCCCACGGTGATATTTGCTAATATATTGGCTAGTGAACGATCCCAATTAGCACCCCTTCCGATTGATCAATGTACACAAGACTTATTTATTCGCGTAAGATACGCACTCGTGTGTTATATGCACCTTAAATATGGGCAATTAAATTCTGGAAAAATATATCTGTCGTATATAAACATTTCAGCCTGTCAGCATAAACAACGAAATTTATCTTTCAACTCTGTTTTTTTTTCTCACCAATATAATGTTCTAATAAGAGCCCCCATATTTCTAATTTTGAGAGCGCCCTGGGCGCTTATTACGTCGAATACGGTACATGTATACACTAGCATATGAACTTGTCCGTTACTGCCCATTATTTCTACAATCTGCTCACCTTTTTATTGTGCCACCTCCTTTGCAAGTATGTCTCAACCTGAAAGAGAATCAAACTATTGGTTTACATATATCAGGAACTATCTACCATTTTTAACATATTAGGGTTTAGTCAATTAACTAAATAAATCAGTTACATATATATTAACTTACCATTTTCTCAGTTTGCACAATCTTAGATGCCTGAAAATAATAGGTCAGATTAATTAGAAGCATAAAAGGTCATAAAAAGATCCTTAAATGGGTCCTTGTTATAGATTTTAGGTACTTAAATGTAGTCCACACCAAAAGAAACAATCAGGTGCTTGATCAGTCTGCCTGACATGTGCCTTATTTGACATTGATATTCCTTTCCTATGACCTGGCACTTAGTTCAGAGAAGATGACAAACTGAAGTTTTATAACTGACAGATGGTTTGAGGAACATTGCAGTGAGGGCATTTATTTGTGTGAAACCATTTATTAAAATGGTTATTAAGTGTTAAAGGAATGTTTGAAAACAGCATTAATTCAAAATTAAGCCGTCCATATAAACCAATCCATATATGGAAAGCTTTCCTAACTTACCTTTTCAGATCCTGTTTTCCCCATGCTTCTAAGCCTTGAACTTGAATGTGGAATCTGATAAAGAAAGTATTAAATACCTTATGCATATGAATGATAGCATTGTTACTTAAACACCACTCTTACACAAAATTAACTATTACCAAAAAGAACATTTGTGGCCTGTATTCAATATTCAAGTCTGCAAGACATATTCAAGACATGCAGTCACTGAGTCTGACCATCACAGCAATAACAGAGATCCAGATAAGCTGCGTATCTGCGTAAAATACGCATCAGAAATGCAGAAATACGCAGTAAAATAATATCCAAGCGTATCAAATACGCAACGAACATTACAGATACGCTACAAAAATAAAACTTGTGCGTATATTCAAAATATTGTGAAGTAACCCTGCGTATTCGATTAGCAATTCAGCAACTTATTTTGAAATTATAAACGGGCATACCGTCAACCTTGCCAAACTCCACGAGGACAGTTACATCATGATCATTTGCCATCACACTTTCTTGTGGAAGTATCATGGTATTTTTGAGTCCTATAAAGCTCTCGAACCCACACGACACCAGTTTGCAGGGACTAGATGAATGGTGTTTTTAAATATTTAACTTAAATACCCACATGTGTAAAAACTAGTGGGTAACAGAAATTTGAATACCCAGATAGAATAGCTGATACGCAGTGATTTTAAAATGCATGGGTAAAATACCCACAACACCAAAAGCTTATCTGGAGCTCTGAATAACATTACTTTTCAAGCTAATATAGTAATTCATTTAATATACCAGTATGTTGTTCATGAAATGATTAAAGTTTAATTACCTTTCTACTCTTTTGTGGTGCTCTTCCTTTGTAATGTAGCACCTGAAAATAGTAGTTTTTCAAAAAGATACGCTAGTAGGTACATAAGGTTACATAAATTGCATACTTCGCTTACTGATTATTATAGGTATTCAATATAGCTTATTTGATCATGTGGATCATAATAACTTTCAGTTACATACATGTAGTAATATTTTAGTATAATTAAGAATAACAAACCATGTGTACACACAATGTTTAATATGCACTGTAAAATGATGTTATAGTAGTATCAGATCTGACAAAGTACTTACTGGAAGATCCTGGCATTCCATGACGGGTAGATTCTAATAAAAGAAACATATCATATGGCCCCATTACATGTTACTAACTAGTCAGTTGAACTTCTCAAACAATTAACACACTTCACTTCACCTAAAGTATATGCAGATACATGCAGAAAGAAAACTGCTGAATATTGGGTCAAAATAGCTTTCTAAACTTCTATGGCATTTTAAGTCTATGGAAAGATTAAGTATACGGTCATAAAGAAGTGAGTGAGTTTGGTTTAACACCGCTTTTAACAGTATTACAGTTACATGTATATCGCGGCTTAATGTGGGAGGAAAGCCCGAAGTGATGCAGGTCTGAGACGTTTACCACTTCGGTGAAACCCACAAGCACGGGTATGGTGCTGACAAACCTAGAACCGGGGCAAACCAGGATTCGAACCCACAATCATAGGTTTCTGGTGTGCCCAGGGGATGCAACTCTGCACAGCGAATTGCGGCGCCATAGATGAGTAGGCCACCTGAGCCCCCGGTAACAATAGTATGCAAACTTTACAGGTACAGGTGGGCTATCTGGGTTTCTGTTTCTGCTTTACTAACCTCATGATGTTCCTGTGATGATTCCTCATGGAGTAACCCCTGCAACATAATGTCAACGTCAAACTAATTCAGTTGAAAAATGTAGATTATATATAAATGACATTTTTTCTGAGGATAAATGAAATGCCTAGTTCAGACTATCCACTTCCAATTTTCTTCTGCCAATAACCATGTTTCATTCCATACAAAGAATCAGCAACAGGGCTTCATTGCTTGTCCAATATTAGGAGCCTGGACATGTCATGTAGGTTGCTGTTGTCATCATGTCACTCCTAATGGCCACATGACCAAGATGAAATAATTAGGTAATTGTCCCTAATAAGCCCCGAACATAAAGTAAAAGTATTAGCTCATATTAGGTGACATGGTTCATTTTCATTGAGTATGAATTGTTGTCACTCACCTGAAGTAGGGTCACTTGTAGGTCCAGGTCATCATCACTGAATGCATAAACCTGTAAAGAGACAATACAACATATACAGAGGTCCTTATCATATAGACAATACAACATATACAGAGGTCCTTATCATATAGACAATACAACAAATACAGAGGTCCTTATCATATAGACAATACAACATATACAGAGGTCCTTATCATATAGACAATACAACAAATACAGAGGTCCTTATCATATAGACAATACAACAAATACAGAGGTCCTTATCATATAGACAATACAACAAATACAGAGGTCCTTATCATATAGACAATACAACAAATACAGAGGTCCTTATCATATAGACAATACAACATATACAGAGGTCCTTATCATATAGACAATACAACAAATACAGAGGTCCTTATCATATAGACAATACAACAAATACAGAGGTCCTTATCATATAGACAATACAACATATACAGAGGTCCTTATCATATAGACAATACAACAAATACAGAGGTCCTTATCATATAGACAATACAACAAATACAGAGGTCCTTATCATATAGACAATACAACAAATACAGAGGTCCTTATCATATAGACAATACAACATATACAGAGGTCCTTATCATATAGACAATACAACAAATACAGAGGTCCTTATCATATAGACAATACAACAAATACAGAGGTCCTTATCATATAGACAATACAACAAATACAGAGGTCCTTATCATATAGAAAATACAACAAATACAGAGGTCCTTATCATATAGACAATACAACAAATACAGAGGTCCTTATCATATAGACAATACAACAAATACAGAGGTCCTTATCATATAGACAATACAACATATACAGAGGTCCTTATCATATAGACAATACAACAAATACAGAGGTCCTTATCATATAGACAATACAACAAATACAGAGGTCCTTATCATATAGACAATACAACAAATACAGAGGTCCTTATCATATAGACAATACAACATATACAGAGGTCCTTATCATATAGACAATACAACAAATACAGAGGTCCTTATCATATAGACAATACAACAAATACAGAGGTCCTTATCATATAGACAATACAACAAATACAGAGGTCCTTATCATATAGACAATACAACATATACAGAGGTCCTTATCATATAGACAATACAACAAATACAGAGGTCCTTATCATATAGACAATACAACATATACAGAGGTCCTTATCATATAGACAATACAACAAATACAGAGGTCCTTATCATATAGACAATACAACAAATACAGAGGTCCTTATCATATAGACAATACAACAAATACAGAGGTCCTTATCATATAGACAATACAACATATACAGAGGTCCTTATCATATAGACAATACAACAAATACAGAGGTCCTTATCATATAGACAATACAACAAATACAGAGGTCCTTATCATATAGACAATACAACAAATACAGAGGTCCTTATCATGTAGACAATACAACAAATACAGAGGTCCTTATCATATAGACAATACAACAAATACAGAGGTCCTTATCATATAGACAATACAACATATACAGAGGTCCTTATCATATAGACAATACAACAAATACAGAGGTCCTTATCATATAGACAATACAACAAATACAGAGGTCCTTATCATATAGACAATACAACATATACAGAGGTCCTTATCATATAGACAATACAACAAATACAGAGGTCCTTATCATATAGACAATACAACAAATACAGAGGTCCTTATCATATAGACAATACAACAAATACAGAGGTCCTTATCATATAGACAATACAACATATACAGAGGTCCTTATCATATAGACAATACAACAAATACAGAGGTCCTTATCATATAGACAATACAACAAATACAGAGGTCCTTATCATATAGACAATACAACAAATACAGAGGTCCTTATCATATAGAAAATACAACAAATACAGAGGTCCTTATCATATAGACAATACAACAAATACAGAGGTCCTTATCATATAGACAATACAACAAATACAGAGGTCCTTATCATATAGACAATACAACATATACAGAGGTCCTTATCATATAGACAATACAACAAATACAGAGGTCCTTATCATATAGACAATACAACAAATACAGAGGTCCTTATCATATAGACAATACAACAAATACAGAGGTCCTTATCATATAGACAATACAACATATACAGAGGTCCTTATCATATAGACAATACAACAAATACAGAGGTCCTTATCATATAGACAATACAACAAATACAGAGGTCCTTATCATATAGACAATACAACAAATACAGAGGTCCTTATCATATAGACAATACAACATATACAGAGGTCCTTATCATATAGACAATACAACAAATACAGAGGTCCTTATCATATAGACAATACAACATATACAGAGGTCCTTATCATATAGACAATACAACAAATACAGAGGTCCTTATCATATAGACAATACAACAAATACAGAGGTCCTTATCATATAGACAATACAACAAATACAGAGGTCCTTATCATATAGACAATACAACATATACAGAGGTCCTTATCATATAGACAATACAACAAATACAGAGGTCCTTATCATATAGACAATACAACAAATACAGAGGTCCTTATCATATAGACAATACAACAAATACAGAGGTCCTTATCATATAGACAATACAACAAATACAGAGGTCCTTATCATATAGACAATACAACATATACAGAGGTCCTTATCATATAGACAATACAACATATACAGAGGTCCTTATCATATAGACAATACAACAAATACAGAGGTCCTTATCATATAGACAATACAACATATACAGAGGTCCTTATCATATAGACAATACAACAAATACAGAGGTCCTTATCATATAGACAATACAACAAATACAGAGGTCCTTATCATATAGACAATACAACATATACAGAGGTCCTTATCATATAGACAATACAACAAATACAGAGGTCCTTATCATATAGACAATACAACATATACAGAGGTCCTTATCATATAGACAATACAACAAATACAGAGGTCCTTATCATATAGACAATACAACAAATACAGAGGTCCTTATCATATAGACAATACAACATATACAGAGGTCCTTATCATATAGACAATACAACAAATACAGAGGTCCTTATCATATAGACAATACAACATATACAGAGGTCCTTATCATATAGACAATACAACAAATACAGAGGTCCTTATCATATAGACAATACAACAAATACAGAGGTCCTTATCATATAGACAATACAACAAATACAGAGGTCCTTATCATATAGACAATACAACATATACAGAGGTCCTTATCATATAGACAATACAACATATACAGAGGTCCTTATCATATAGACAATACAACAAATACAGAGGTCCTTATCATATAGACAATACAACAAATACAGAGGTCCTTATCATATAGACAATACAACATATACAGAGGTCCTTATCATATAGACAATACAACAAATACAGAGGTCCTTATCATATAGACAATACAACAAATACAGAGGTCCTTATCATATAGACAATACAACAAATACAGAGGTCCTTATCATATAGACAATACAACAAATACAGAGGTCCTTATCATATAGACAATACAACAAATACAGAGGTCCTTATCATATAGACAATACAACATATACAGAGGTCCTTATCATATAGACAATACAACATATACAGAGGTCCTTATCATATAGACAATACAACAAATACAGAGGTCCTTATCATATATCTCTTATTTTGTAGGAGAAGATAGGGCTCTTATGCTACTGAACTGAGGGATTTCAGGTTAGAATTGGACCAAAGCAACCAATGTTGACAGTGTCATGTACAGTATTCGACGTAATAAGCGCCCAGAGCGCTCTCAAAATTAGAAATAGGGGGCTCTTATTAGAATATTATTTTGGTGAGTTAAAGGATAAATTTCGTGGTTTATGCTGACAGCCTGAAATGTTTATATACGACAGATATATTTTTGCAGAATTTAATTGCCCACAATTAAGGGTGCATATAACACACGAGTGCGTATTATACGTGAATAAATAAGTTTTGTGTACATTGGAAGGGGTGCTAATTGGGATTGTTCACGAGCCAATATTTTAGCAAATATCGCCGTGGGCGCTTATTAGAGATGGGCACTAATTACGTCGAATACGGTATTTACTTTTAAAGATAATTATGTCATTAAATCTGTATCTGTAAGTAATGCATCACCAAATTAATGCTTACCTCTAAATTTAATGTGAGTAGCCCAGCCTATAAATAAATACTATAGAAGAAAAAAAGTCTTCTTATTTTACATAGGTAAACAATGTAGAGTCTAAAATAAGAATGATACTCACATCCAGCTCAGGCAATCTTTGCATTTCCTGTGATTCTTCAAACTCCTGCAATCTCTAAATCTTCTGTGATTTGTCCTGATCCTGACATCTTTGAAGCTGCTGTGATTTCTCCATTACCTGAAATTAACACATGAGTAAATTGCTGATAAAGTGGGAGGATCTCCAGAATTAACGTTTTTGTTCCTATTTTTGTATTGATGCTTTACACTGCACTCAGCAACAATTCAGCCTGTTCATAAGTGAGTCTTGACAACCTAGTGGTTGATGTTATGAGCAACAATTCACCCTACTGGCATCATTGGGCTACGATGACACACAATCAACAGTCACAAAGTTTGACCACACAAACTGAGTAGTCACCCAAATCGACCAGCATAGATCAATTCTAACAGTGTCCAACCCAGACCGCGCGATTGCGCGATTGACGCTAAAAAAAAATCAAATCGCCCCTCATTAAAAACTCAAAGCGCGATCTGTCGCGCACAGTTATTTCATGTACAGTCACTTACTTTATCAGCTGTTTATCCCTACCTTTAGATTCAATACTCACTAAATCTTTAATCAATTAACGAAGAAAGACAGTTCACAGCAAACATTGTAAACAACTGTCGAAGACCGATCGACAATAACCCGGAAGTTCGAACACGAGTTATACGTCCCTTGGGTTGCTGAATAAATTATCGACAGGATTTGCATAGGAAACGAAATTTACTTTACTTTTGTATAAAGCTTTCAAAACTTTGATCAAAATTATGTTGTATGTTGTTGTTTAGTAATCAGAAACCTTTGACAAGATGTTAAAAGACAAATAAATATTCTGTATTGAATAGTTCTAGATATATTTTTGAGCATTTAGTTCGTTTTAGTTTCGTTTCTGAAATCACACAATATGAATCGCCGACTGTCATTGCAGACGATCTTTTGAATAGTGAAAATGTCGCAAAAAAAAAAATACAGACTTTTTAAATCAAAACAGTTGCTATAAAAAGACAATGATGAAACCACTGTCACTGTAATTACTTCTCAAACTGAAGGGGAAATCGATAACGGTCCTAGTGACTCAAAAAAGCAGTTCTTTATTCTGATCTGTTACACTTTTATATGATGATGTTCCAGTACATAATACAAAATAAGACATTTTTGAAGAAAACAGTTATCCCCCCTACTTTTTCAAAATCCCCCCTATTTTCTACATAATGGGGGAACAGGTCCCCCCTTGATTTTCAATTCTGGACTGGACACTGTTCTAACTCCGGACTCCAAACAGGGTAAGAATGAAGGTACATTTACCAAGTGTAACTAACCACCAGTGTAACTAAACATACCATTTTATCCAGTTCCTGTCTTAGAACTTGGTTCTGTGTCCTCAGCTCCTGAATCAAAGGGTCCTTCTCTTTCAGTTGTTCTTGCAGCACTAATACTTCAGCAGCTGCCTCCTGATTGTTTCCAGTTCCCTTCAAATATAATATACATTTTCATTGTCATACTAATGTCATAGCGACTGATTTACGACACCCATTGTCTGAAGAACATTTGATTGCAAAGGCTCATTACCCTGGATCCATGACATCTATATGCCTTGAAACATTTAATTGCTGTTATTTATAAGATGCTAATCCTAATTGTTAATCCCCAGTTTTGTGTACATCCGCCGTCTGCCATCCTGAACAGGATGTACAAGTATGTCATTGATGATTTACTGTTTACATTTATATTTATTACTTACTAAATGTCAGGTGACCTTGGCTATATAAGCCTTGGTCCAGAATGATTGAGGAAGGAGAAAAAGAAAGGTCTTACCCTTAGCCTAGCTAGGGTTAGGCTGGGTGCTCCGGGGCACCTAGACAACAAGCACTACCACCATGTGCTGACCTGGCACATAGTGTCTTTTGTATGTATATATCTACATGTATAAAGTAAAACTGTATATACTGCAAGCCATCGTCTCCAAGTTGTCACTTCCTACTGAGAACCATATGTCGGCCTCTTGCATATACGAGTATGCAAATTGTTCATTAATCAACGTCGGACCGACACGCGTTGTTACTAATTATAATAATCACAAAACAACTATACAAATTATTCTCATGTTGACGTTCCTTGAGTGAGTGAGTGAGTGAGTGAGTGAGTGAGTGAGTGAGTGAGTGTTTAAATGACAAAGATCTGATTCTGTCCTTACCTTGTGTTCTTGTTTAATCTGTTTCAGTTGATGGATGAATTCTTCTTTGAAGATATCACCATTCTAAATTCTGTTTTCTATAAAGGGTTGCCTCATCTTTAAATGAAGCAGTCTCCAAGAAAAGACATGTGTTGACTTTTGTATTCCTTTGCTCCTTAAGTTTACCAAGACTGAATAATTCCATGATATCAAGGATGAGACGATAACATCTGTCTGAGGTTGTAGCTACTGCTAGCTGAACTTTGAAACGACCACCAAAACGGTGCTGGAAAAAGGCAACAAATAGAAGATCAGAGCTCCAGATAAGCTTTTGGTGTTGTGGGTATTTTACCCATGCATTTTAAAATCATTGGGTATCAGTAATTCTATCTGCGTATTCAAATTTCTGTTACCCCACTAGTTTTTACACATGTGGGTATTTAAGTTAAATATTTAAAAACACTATTCATCTAGTCCCTGCAAACTGGTGTTGTGTGGGTTCGAGAGCTTTATGGGACTCAAAAATACCACGATACTTCCACACGAAAGTGTGATCGCAAATGATCAGGATGTAACTGTCATCGTTGAGTTTGGCAAGGTTGACGGAATGCCCTTTTATAATTTCAAAATAAGTTGCTGATTTGCTAATCGAATACGCAGGGTTACTTCACAATATTTTGATTATACGAACAAATTTTATTTTTGTTGCGTATCTGTAATGTTTGTTGCGTATTTGATACGCTTGGATTATATTTTACTGCGTATTTCTGCATTTCTGATGCATATTTCACGCAGATACGCAGCTTATCTGGAGCTCTGGAAGATTCAAAACATATTCAGTAAAAATCAACAAATGCATACATCTTAACATGCATTTCATGTCTTAAAGAATACAAGAGAAAATGTGAAAAATAATATGTACGCCAGCTGCTACACTAGCTTCAGGTGCTCAATAACATTTGGGTTTTCTAATTCGCATGTCCAATCGTTTTCCATGAGTACATGTGTTCAAAACTATGCATCACACTGATAGAATTGTAATACAGTCGTGCCTCGTTTATACGGACACTTGCGTCATTTCACAATTCGTCCGGATAAACGAAATTTCCGTATAACTGAAACCAGCTTCTTACTGGAAGAGTTACTTCCCTTCAATTATGCAACTCATGACAGATGACAAAGTCTGTCATGGAAGTTTGAACTGTCACCAATTGTCGATTTTCCTATGGTATGTCCAAATTCAGTGCCATACTTACAGGCCATACTTACACAACTTTGACCTGTGACCTCCACAGATGCCATATTTATCGAAGGGGATTACATGTACAATAAACAAGCTCATCTCAAACGTAACTCAGTGTCACTTGGTTAATTGACTTCTCACGAATCAAAGGATTACCACCAGCGGAAGTGTATTGTCCGGATAAGTGAGACAATTTTGTGTGCATTTCAGTGTTTTGTGTATGAAAATGACCATCTGGTTCCGGAAACTGAATTTCCGTATATACGGGTATATTTATAGAGTAATTATTTCGTTTTGAATGAAAATCGTCCGGGAACCGAGGTTTCCGGGATATCTGAAGTCCGTATAAGCGGGGCATGACTGTACATGACATGATCATTGAAATAATCATGGATTATTGTTATGGTACATAAGCTCATGTGTGGCCACATGGAAAATACACCATTCTCGTTCTAGCCATTATGGAGCAAACACCATAGCGGAAATTACACATCAAATCAAAGATCACGCAGATTACTGCCCCAGATCAACGTAGTCTCCTAAATTGGGATACCGAACAAACACCCCAAGTGGGAACAGACAGTAAAACTATACCAAGCCGGCAGTCGGCGGCCATCTTGGCCAGGGACTGACCCCCCAGGGCTACCCCCAAGGACAAAACCAAACTTGATAAGTGCCTTTATCATCTCCCTCTCCCCTCTATTCTTTCTAGATTACTTGGTAATTGTTGTATTTATATATTTTGTCTCTATATTCTATTGATAGTATTCACCTCAACCCTGTGTTATATTGCCATTACTTGTTTATATCAATCATGTCATCAAACACCCCCCCACCTACATCCCCCCTCACAGACTCCATCTTCACAACACCCATACACTCAGACACCCATTTCCTGGGACTCACACCCACCCACAACCAAAACCCTGTCCCCTTTGATTTCGGAATAGACCTACAAGAATTTTCTTTCAATCAACCCCACAGCAGCATCACATCCCCCAACAGTCAACTCCAAATTCCCCCCCACCCTCCCCAAACACAACAAATCAAACCCAAAACAGCCCCCAAACCCCCATCTCCAAAACCTACAAAACGACCACACCAATCCCCAACAGAATCTTCACTCACAACAAAGAAAACATGTGCCAAGCAAACACCTCCAACCACCTCAACATCTGAACAGTCTCCAGCAACAGACCAAAACAAGCACATATTACTGGCATTTTCAACAAACTCCACACCACTCAACGACACCTTTTCAAACAATAAATTCGCCCTCTGCTGAAAAAAGTACACATAACATACAAATATATAAACAGATGTGGCAGGGGGTTCAAAATCACCTTTCCTACCCAAGATACACTCAATCAAGCACGCAGACAAACAATGATAGATGGTCTAAACATAACATGACAAACACCAAAATGGCTCACATCTATACAGTGGGTAATATACATAGACCATAGGGACACACAAGAAGACATACTAGAATACATCAAAACAGCCAATCAACTCCACACACAACCCCAAATCACAGACTATAAGAGCATCAACAACAGAACTCCCATACCTGGCAGAACCACAACACAAACTATCTTCCTTACCTTCAAGAGCACCACACTACCCACACACATCATTTTCGGAGCACTAAGGTACAAAATTAATCCAATAAGAAAAAACCCACCACAATGCAACATATGTCACTCCTACAATCACACTACAGCTACTTGCCGACAACCGCCCATGTGCCAGAAATGTGGGTCCCTCAGACACGAAACCCCAGAGTGCACATGGGCGGCCTACTGCATACAATGCGAAACCGAGGGTCATACAGCCACACAAAATACTTGCCCACTCAAACAACAACACATCCTCCGGCTCAACAAACACATCAAACAGGAACACCTACCCAAACCGGCCAGAATACTACAAACATATAACAGCCTTCCAGACTACCAAGATCTATCAGACACATCCTCCTCCACATCATTACCCCCCTCCTATTCCCCCCACCCAGACCCGACCCACCCAGTCCAAACGTAAACAACTCTTTTCCACTCCAGTCCCAGTCCCAACCCACCAGACCCCCCTCCACCCAACAATCACTATCCCACCCACCCAACCAGTAAACACTGCCCCACCCCACACAGACAACTCAACTCAAGCACACCCCCCCCCAAGCAGTACCCCCATCCATAACATACAACACCCTTCCCAAGGCCACCACCCCCTTGCTACAACCAAAATAAAACCCACACATAATACAGTACCATGGTGGAGCCCTGAAATTATTCAATCTAGAAAACTCAGGAAAAAAGCTCTCAATAAGGCTAAACATGATAGAACTAAATTCCATTTGGCTCATAAACAAAGAAATCTTACTAAAGAACTAATAATGGCAACCAAAAGAAACCATTGGCAAACTTTTACATCAACCTTGAAGATGGGCAAACAAAATTCAAAAATTCTGTGGAATAAACTTAAAGCAATAAAAGGCATCGCCAAATCCTTCAACTCGCCCAACTTTCCCCTACTTAAAACAAATAAAGTAAAGGCTAATGCCATGGCCGCCCATCTTTCGACCGTAAGTAGCTCCCCCAACCACTCAAAACATATACAAGACACAATAAACACTAAACCTGCATTTCAAAACAGATCACCACTCTCACATCTCGCAATAAACAAACTTATCAACATCCACGAACTCCAAAATGCCCTAAAAAGCAAAAACACAGCCCCAGCCACTGGATTAGACAACATAAGTTACAAAATTCTAAATCATGTCCCCATCAAAATTCAAAAATTAATACTTCAACTTTATAATCAGATTTGGACTTCTGGCCACCTCCCCAAAACATGGAAAAATGCTCTAGTGGTGCCAATTCTAAAACCAGGGAAATCCCCAAATGACCCTGATTCTTACCGCCCTATCTCTCTCACATCTCATCTATGTAAAATCATGGAAACAGTAATAAACAACAGACTAAAGCATAAAATACAAAACAATAGCCTTATAAAAGAGGACCAGAGTGGCTTTACAGCAAACAGACAGACCCTAGACCATATTTTACATTTGGAACATGATGTTAGGACAGCCCAAGCACAAAAACAATACACTGTGGCCATTTTTATAGATTTTTCTAAAGCATTTGATATGGTTTGGCAACAAGGCCTAATTCAAAAATTAATAAATAAAGCAATTGATGGAAGAATTCTAAATTTCACTCATTCTTTCCTAAATAACAGAAACATAACAGTAAAATCAAACAACACCCTATCAGACCCCCACACTCTTGAAAATGGCACCCCCCAGGGAAGTATCCTGTCCCCCACCCTATTTAACCTAATGATTGATGACATATTCCCATCTACCCCAAAAAATACTACCACAGCTAAATTCGCTGATGATATATCATTTTGGTCGTCATCAACATCCATAAAACAAATTGAAAATAGAATCAAACCAACTCTTGCGAAATTAGAAAACTGGGCTTCCCAATGGGGGTTCAAAATTAACACCAAAAAAACCATCGGCATTGTCTTCAAAAAACCTTCTATGACAAATTTAACACCCAAACTTACACTCCTTAAAGAAAATATTAAATTCCTAAAAGAAGCAAAATTCCTTGGGGTCACATTTGACCAACATCTCACATGGGCTCCCCACATCAATAATGTGGTCAACTCCTGCCAAAAAGATATTAATCTAATGAGAGCCATCAGCGGCTCTCACTGGGGAGCTGACAAACAAACATTATTAAACATATACAAAACCCTTATTCAATCAAAAATAGACTATGCCGCTCCGGTTCTCCACTCTTTAACAGATAAACTGGAAAAAAAGCTCAATTCAATACAATATAAGGCCCTCAAGATAGCCCTGGGGACTAGAAATGGCACTTCCCTTAATACACTGCAAATCATCACAGGCATTACATCAATTCAACTCAAACGACATCAATCTATACTTAGTTACTGGGCTGGGGCACAACAAAACCCCATTTACAACGAAATACTCCACAAATACAAAAACTCAAGACCAGCAACCCTCAAAAAGTTCAAAAACAAGACAAAATCTCATTAAAACACACAATCTAGAACACATAACTCACTCACCCCCAGACAACACATATATTCTTGACCTTCCCCCCCCCCGAAATAGACATATCCCTAGCCAAACTACTAAACAACCATATCAAACTCACAAACATAGAAAAGGGAACAATATCACTTAATCATATCCATGACAACTGGCCGGAACATACACACATCTATACAGATGCATCATACAACAGCAAAAAACAAAAAACAGGGCTGGGTATCCATACAACACAGCCCATACAAAGCACAAAGAAATACCAATATGCAAACTACTCACATACAAACACAGCAGAGCTATTAGCCATTCTACAAGCCTATAAACAGGCAGAAACATCAAACTATAACAAAAATATCATAATTTCTGACTCACTGAATTCAATAAAACAAATAGCTGACAAATCTTCCAAATGCAGACCCGACTTAATCAAACAAATAATAAACACCCATACAAAACTCAAAACATCCAACAAATCAATAACATTAGTATGGATACCTAGCCATACAGGCATACCAGGCAACCAAATTGCAGATCAAACAGCAAAAACAGCAACTACTGACCAAACACCCACTTTACAATTTCACACAAGCAAAGCCGAGATAAAAACACTAATCAAACACAATATAATACAACAAAACTTTAGCAATAACATTCAAAAATGTAAATCCCAATGGATCAAAACACTATTCAGCAAACCAACAACAAAATGCAAAAATTACACAAACTCCATTTTAGCAGACAAAGTCATAAACAGAATACAAAGCAACCAAACCAACTTAAACGCAACCTTATACAAACAAAACAGACACACAAGCCCCAACTGCATTCACTGCAATACAATAGAAGACATAAAACATATATTCACCACCTGCAGCAAATATAAACAACAACAACAAACACTTTACAACTCTCTCCCACCCAAATACAACAATAATATAGCACTGCTATTCAAACCCGATAACCCACCAGCGACTTACCTACAAATAGCCACCTTCCTCAAAGACACCAACCTAATAGAAAAAATTTAGACCCTCCCAAACAAACTCAGCAAGTAACTTTAACATTAACAGCAAAACTCTAGATTCGGAGTCCGCGCCTCAAAATTCTATAGCGGATAGTCTACAATGACGTCCGCGCACTCAACCCATAGCGCGGATTGTCTACTCCGACGTCCGCGCCACAAACTCCTGTACCCATACTCAGTAACTCTATAGCCGCTTAACCAGCCATCCACCCATAGCCGACACAAACAAGCCCACTACCAATCACGCCGACACACAGCCTTGCCCCCACCACCCACCCCCCGCGCTAGGCCCCCGTTTTTTAACTTAGGTTACTCACACTTATCCATTACTTTTCCCCTTATAATTTATTTTATTTTATTAATAGTAGCTATACATCAGCTTAACTGATTACTTCTGTCACTCTACCTATCCTAGTAACTACACCCCAATAAACCTGGCTAATGTAGAACTTTACTATCTCTCCAAGGTTCTCTATGGCCACTAAACCCTCAACCTCTCTTCTCATTACTTTACCCCCTTTCACTTACAGTTTTTTGGGCTAGACGTTTATATTTATTCCCACTATTCTATATTTTATAAGAACCGTCTGCCCCGAGTGCGAAATAGCCAGAGGCTGAAGCGCTCGTTAAATCTCCAAATATCGATCGATCATGGAAAATAGAGTATGATATCTTACACGTGAGGTCTCTGTTGGTTTCACTGCCGCCTGGCACTGTTTCCTCCATTTATTATCTGCATTGCAAAGAATGGCTGTCTCACTTTTACCAGCTTTTGGGTGAAGGTTGGAAAATGCCTATAGAAAAAATAAAACGAAACATTATATGTGATATATCAAAAGTGCTGTAAATAAGACAGAAATGATTGTCCATCGAACTGGATTAGTGCACACATATTTTGTAAAAGATTTTTCTTAAACTGCTTTACAGTATTTGAAATTCAGGGGAGGTCGGGGGTGTTGAGGTCTTCCTGTACGATATTTGAATCTAGGAACCTTCCAAACTTGTAAAATTGGGGATGACAAGGATCCCATGCTTAATTTGGTACCAGATGTGTGTGGGGTGGATTAACACTGCATCCTTCCTATTTCCTGGAGAGGAATATTCATAAGGGAAACACGTCTGGCTAAAAAAATATAAATATGTTACCATTACTGTAGCCTTAAAATTAAGGGGTTGTTGATCTGTAGGAGAGGCCTCTGCCAGGGACATGCAGGGTGTGTCCACTGATTTGGCAGCCAAAACAGCTCCTGAAGAAATAATCATGAGATATAGCCTATATATAAAAAGAAAGTAGTAACTTATAGTTTTGTTTAATATATTTTATGTATTTTCTCTCTACTTTCATATTTAACTTTACATACACTCATCAGCATATCAAGTGTCTCCGGGCAGTCGTCTGCATCTTCTGTTTTGTACAGGTCAATGGGCGGATACAGCTTTTTTGAAAAGGGGGGGTGCACAATTAAGATCTATTTATTGTGTTTGATGGTAATTTATACAGAAATAAAGATTTTTTTCGAAATAAAAAAAAAAGGGGGGGGGGGGGGGGGGCATGAAGTTATATCTTTATTCAAAGATGAAAAATCAGAAGGAATGGGTGCATAGTCAGAAAGAAATGCGAACATTAATGACTTGTAGTGTAACTATAGAGTTCCAGATAATTTTTGTCATTAAACAATATATCACGAGACTAACCACGGTTCCGGGTAGTCCTGTGGGTACCCGGGTCCTACTCAGTACCCACCCAACCCGGGTACCCAAGTTACTCGTCCCAGCCCTACGCTCTAGTCATCAACTAGATATCATGATGCAATGTTCAAAATAAAAGAAATGGAAATCACTGAAATTTGATTTTATTAAATTGAAGTCCATGGTAGTATTTGTTGTGATTTGAATGCTTGAATTGTTGTGGGAAATAACACAAAGACTGATTAATAAAATGAGTTTGCATTATTTCATCGATGCAATATGTTAGCCCAGACTGACAGAATGCCTCGCTGTTTTCTGACGTAGAAAATACCGTGGCAATATACCATTTTTCATGACGTTTTTCCCGCTATATTCCATTGTGACAATTCGTCTTGTAGTTGAAGACTCAACAAATGTTGATATTATAAACTAATAATCACTACAAAATATGTGCTAGTTAAAAGTATTCAGTTGTAAACGACCGTTTTTTGAACGAAGGTGCAACAGGATAACTCCTTAGCTTGGCTCCGTCTCTACATGTCTGTAGTTGTCGCAGCGCGCATTGATCCGGGAACCAGACCGGAAGCGACAATTTGGACCGTCGCTTATATCATTTCAAAAGGAGAGTTATTGCCCTTTGGAACAAAAAGATCAAGCTCCTTCCCAGCGCGTGACACCTTCATTACACTCTCCGTATTAGAGTGCTCCGTGAACGGGCTATCGCTGTGAGGAGCTTGCAAAAAGATCGCCCATTGATTATATCCATGATCACACTCCGTCGCAGTGGAACTCTGGGTAGACTGGTTCCCGGATCCTCCGCTTGGTGTCGCTGCACAGTCTAGGTAGGAGAGTGATTAGACTGGTTCCCGTTCGTTCCTGCGACAGACTGGAACGACCGGTATTGGGTAAAACAATCTTCACCTTGACGTTACGGTAAACTGGTTTAGCGCCTTTGCTGGTTATATAGACAGTAACATAGTCAAGACAAGATGGCGACTAATGTGTCGTCTGTCAACAGTAACATAGAAATTGCAAATATTTTGGATCGGGCGAACAGGTACCAATCTTGTAATTTTTTCCAATTAAAGGCTAAACAACGTGATGCTATTTTGGCATGTGCATCAAGGGGTGTTTTGGTGTTCTACCGACTGGTTACGGCAAAACTGTTGTGATACAGTGAACGATTCCGCCAGCACCAGTGGTTGTGAATCCACTAAATGCGATTCTCGAAGAGCAGCACAATCGCCTCCGTAGCCACAGTGTAATAATTATAAATAAATGTATGTTTCATGTTTGGAAAATAGTGCTATTTAATATGTAAACCTCCTGAAAGGGCGATACCTTGACGTGGTCAGGAGGCTTAATTCTCTTTGACTTTGATATGGTCGTAAGGGAAGACCAAAATCGCCTTGTTGTAGTGATTATTTTATTGCACATTTTGTTAAACGTTTTCTATAAATAAACATATCTTAGTGTACTGTGTCCCATTATCCCCATCCCATATTCAAATTTCAGATCAGTCACATTATTGTTGATGAGGCGCATTGTGTCATATCATGGGGGAAATCTAACTTTCGACCAGCCTTTCTCAAAGTAGGGGATTTACGTGCAATCCTTAGAGCCCAGTATGAAATTCAGCAGGCTTTGTGCATAGTGACTCCTCTAATTGCAGCTGAAACTCCTGGCAGGTGAAATTTGCAATCAAAATAGATTTATAAACAAAACAGTATACACCAGCGAGGTATGGATACACTTTGTTGATACCCAATTTATGAAAACTTGACATGTTTCGGAAACATTTCCCTAATCTCTATTAAATCTATTTAATAGTATCCCAACTAACATTTAGTACATTGAGTCATTTGATAACACTGATGTAGACATGGAGATTAAGTATAGCCATGGACTTGTATAACTTGTATATATAGGTCTGTGGTTTTGCATACAATGAAGCAACCTATAATCTAAAGGGCATCAACATTACTTACAAGGGTCAAAAGGGAAAATACCTCCCAAAAGGGTTATAGATTATTTGTTATTAGACTTTCTGCACATGGTTGACCACTGGACAAAAATGATGTTTTCCATGTACATTTTAGTTCAATAGTTTCACACATACATACATATGAATTTAAAAATATTCTTAATGCTATTGGAAATGTGAAGTACATCCAAAGTAGTAGTACTAGTACAGTATACTGTCATCTTAAGAAGAAAATTAACACCACAAATCAGAAATCTTTCAATATATTTTCGAATATACACACTACAACATGTACAATCTACAGTATGGTTTGATAAGCTAAGGCAATTCATGCAGCGAAGCACTTTGACAATTACAGATAATCATGACGTGACAAATCCCAAATTTGTGATAATAATCACATTTGTTAGTGAAATCATAGAAAAAATTGCTTACTTTTCTTATTCTCCATTCACCAATGTTTAGAAAACATATTGTTCTTAAATGCCAAGTTTAGTATGACAAATGGAAACGTAAAAACAATTTACAAACAGTCTTTTAAGTGTCAGTGCATATGTAATAGTCCATGCAACATATAATTGACAACACGGCAGTTTCATACAGAATTTCTCAGAAACTTAAATTGTCTTGCGTAAGAACTTCATGATAATCTGTTCAGAAGGTAAATTCATAAGAGATTCATCGTCCTCCATTTAAAACAAAAACACTGCCGTGTCAATATTTGCACGAAATTAGTCAAAGAATACATTGACATCCCATAGCCGTTATGTTGGTACCAATACTCACCTCCATTACTTGGAAAACTACAATTGTCCAGAGCTAAATAGCTTCGCCAAATGCATTTTGACAGCCGCCATCTTGTTGTAGCAGACGATGTGTCATGGTGGGCGATACCGGTCCTCGCACCTTTGATTGAAAAGCGGAACAAGTGCAGCGACACCAAGCGGAGGATCCGGGAACGAGTCTAGAGAGTGATCCCACTCTCCTACCCAGAGTTCCATGCGGCCGGCAGCCAGGGTGCCGTTGTACAAAACAACCTTAGCGCTAAGGTTAGTTTTAACCTTAGGCGTTTACTAAGGTTGACCCCCTGTTGCATGAAACTACCTTAAGCTAAGGTAGCCTTAGTTAAGGTGAAAATTGTAAGGTTGGTCAGACCCAACCTTAGCCACGCTAAGGTTGATACTTCATTGAATTAGCAATATTAGTCGTCTGCAGATGCGAGCAGGGGAGATAACTCTTAACCCTAACTACGGACATAATTGAGTCTCCCACACTAAAGAGTTTAACCTTAGTTTAGGTTGCCGCTCAGTATCCTGTCCACGTTAAGTGAGTGAGTGAGTATGGTTTTACGCCGCTTTTAGCAATATTCCAGCAATATCACGGCGGGGGACACCAGAAATGGGCTTCACACATTGTACCCATGTCGGGAATCGAACCCGGGTCTTCGGCGTGACGAGCGAACGCTTTAACCACTAGGCTACCCGACCGCCCCTGTCCACGTTAAGGATGTCCTAAGGTAGTTTTGTGCAACGGGCGTAACTTTTTGATAAGGTTACCTTAAAGGGGAAGTGTACACGCAAAAATCACTTTCTTTCTTTTTCTAAACAAAACGCAATTTTAGAATTAGTTAGTATCTGTGTTTGAAAATATACGCTCATTTTTTTTCACAGTGAAAGTAGGAAGCTCACAATAGTGTTAAAATGATATGTCGTTATGAGGCCTTCGTTTTACGAGCGAAATAGGCCTGAGTTATCCCCCTTAGATTATGACGTAATTGGTGCCAATTCAACTGGGTCCCTGTCTATTCTCAACGCAAAAGATATCAAGGACCAGTTTGCGGTAAAACAACATGGTCTACGACACACTCCGGCGCAGTGGTGACTCAGCATAACACAATTCTGGCTGGCATCTGAGACGCTAGAATCACAAAACTGTACCTACACCACGTGAAGCGGCTCTAACAAAGCATGATGACGTCATAATGTTTATCAATTGGCACCAATGACGTCATATTGCAAGGGGCATAAGCCATGGTGTTTTTGTTATGGAAATAGAACACTTGGTAAATGTGAAAAATATAAATCGTTTTAATGCAAAAAATATGTTAATTAAATATGATGTTTTTATATTTTTGTCTATGACACTTCTATGTTAACACTTTTAATGTGGAAAAAGTACAAGAAAAATTGGTTCATTTCCGTGTGAACTTGCCCTTTAAGATTAACTTTAGTAACTAAGTTCAACCTTAGTAAAGGTTGTTTTGTACAACGGCAGCCAGCCAGCATAGTACCTCTGCCACAGGCCAGCGCCATGTGACGATTCGTCACATCTTTCACAGTCCATTCCAGATATTGCATATGCTTTTCATCCGTTTCATGTTTGACAAGTCTACACATTTTCATAAACAAATGTCAAAGAATGAATTGAAGAATTGAGAAAGTATGCAAATACGTAAAAATCTACTTGTTTTTGCGTAGTTATCCTATGTTTACATTGGTTGTACGGCTCCAAGTGCTGTCATCGAAGCCCAACGGAGAGCTAGCGACACGGTCACTTTGATGCATAAATATATATTGTCATGCAACTCACTATCGCAGTTGTAGTAGCATATCTATATAGTTATGCAAAACTATATGTAAAGCGCCCCCAAATACTTGCATTAGTCCGTTCTATACTGATTTCTGAAAAAGCGCGTTTGTTTACAAACAAGAGAAAAGTCCGGTCACGTGATATGCAAATTAGCCTGTGGCAGTGGTGTTATGCTGAGTCACCACTGCGACTGAGTGTGGAGTGATCCATGATGACAATGAAACTTGCGCAATGTAGCTCACGTGACTATATTGATTGTTTGGTCTCCTGAGAACCGAGGTGTTTGTGTTGACTTGATCGTGGATGAGTTTCTACATTTTGTGGATAGGAACAACTAGAATATACTCTGTTATACTATGGGAACAGATTCACTTGAAGAAGCACTAGGTCCTGACCTGTACCTCGCTGTCTGACACTACCTGCTTGAGCTCATCAGCTGCCGTGAGTTTATGTTTTCTGTCTGACGCAACTGAGTGTGACGAGGGACTGGGCTACCGTAGGTAAATTAATTAGGACAGCGGATGTTTAATGTATGTTTAAGTATAGGGTGTATACTTTTATATGTTGACCAGGATATCAGATGCAATTAGACTTGACTTGAGGTAAGGGGATTTCAGTTGGGTGAATTGCTTGTTATGTAATGGGCGATCTTTTTCAATTTATCTTCCCTTCACTAACCCGCTAGGAGCGCTGACCCGGACGGTCCAACCTTAAACTGACGGCGCATGTGGTATGCGCGATACGAGCACTACCTGTTACTATGACGCCTATAGACAGTTAACTAGTATAACCTTCATCTCTGTCGGCAAGTCACGCTTGTGTGTGGACAGCATATCTTTTCGCCTAAACAATGATTTATCTATTGCCATGTCCGGAAATAAATGTTCCTTGATTTAATGATACATCATGGATGACCACGACTGATTGTATTGTATAGTTAACATGACCGACCAATGGGAATAACTGGATTAACACTTGAAAAGGTAAGAATTTATGGCTAACCCTTGCCGAAAGCCAGCTGACCCTAATGACCGAAAAGGGGTGTTGGATCGTAAAGACGTGTAAGTTTCCCTAAGACCGAAAAGGGGTGTTGGATCGTAAAGACGTGTAAGTTTCCCTAAGACCGAAAAGGGGTGTTGGATCGTAAAGACGTGTAAGTTTCCCTAAGACCGAAAAGGGGTGTTGGATCGTAAAGACGTGTAAGTTTCCCTAAGACCGAAAAGGGGTGTTGGATCGTAAAGACGTGTAAGTTTCCCTAAGACCGAAAAGGGGTGTTGGATCGTAAAGACGTGTAAGTTTCCCTAAGACCGAAAAGGGGTGTTGGATCGTAACGACGTGTAAGTTTCCCTAAGACCGAAAAGGGGTGTTGGATCGTAAAGACGTGTAAGTTTCCCTAAGACCGAAAAGGGGTGTTGGATCGTAAAGACGTGTAAGTTTCCCTAAGACCGAAAAGGGGTGTTGGATCGTAAAGACGTGTAAGTTTCCCTAAGACCGAAAAGGGGTGTTGGATCGTAAAGACGTGTAAGTTTCCCTAAGACCGAAAAGGGGCGTTGGATCGTAAAGACGTGTAAGTTTCCCTAAGACCGAAAACGGGTGTTGGATCGTAAAGACGTGTAAGTTTCCCTAAGACCTAGAACGGGTGTTTGATCGTAAAGATGTGTAAGTTTCCCTAAGACCGAGAACGGGTGTTTGATTGTAAAGATGTGTAAGTTTCCCTAAGACCGAAAACGGGTGTTGGATCGTGAAGCGAGAGTCACCAGAGCGTGAGGCACGGTAACGGTATAACGAGACAGCGGTGGCACTATAGCGCGGTAATTGAGCGGATGGTAGAGCTCGGGCTGCGCCCGGTAAACTGCATTGTTGCCTCGGTAGGCCTACTGAAAGTGTTAGCCTTGATGTATGAATATGAAAATTAAGTAGATTTTGCATACGTTTCTATAGCATAGTTGTAGCATCGCCGAGCAGGCTACATCATATGCATGCATTTCAGTATGTACAACGGTGAGGCGATACGGTACGCGAAATATGAAGGTCTCATGCGACGTTGCCCGTAGCCTCAATGTTGTGAATATTGACAGCAACACATGTACGAGCGTAAGTATTTGTCAGATATATAACAGAGAGCAATGAGAAATGTTCTCAAGATATTGTAAGAGTAACAGGCACTGTAAAATTACGTCACCAACTAGATTTCATGATACAATGTTCAAAATAAAAGAAATATTCACTGAAATCTGTTTTGATATTTAAGGGTTAATTGGTGCATGTTGTTTACAAGGATTTTATGTATATGAATGGTAGCTGTTTGTTGCCAAATACTACCATGATTATATTTCATTATGATCAATGAAATAAATATATTATTTTGGCCTTTTTTTTATTTTACAAAGTAGAAAAACAAATCAGACACAGAGGACCCTATATATTAGTTAAAATACATATTCAAGAGTATTTGTACCAACTACAATTTTTATAAAATAAAACAATATATTCATACTAATTGCCAATCTCTATAATGTTGATTGTATTAACAATGCAGTGTCTACATCCAGTTTGCATTGACAATAATCATATGATTGTGACACAGATAAAGCTGATTCTAAACTTCATTAGGCCTTGCTTTTTATGTTTACTTGTTCTAAAGCTTTTTATGTTTCCTTGTTCTAAACTGATGTTTCAAATTCCAACATAAACAAATTATTAATGTGTTTTTTTTCTCTTTTCACACCAAAAGATATCTGCATTGCACAATGACTCTTATTATTTTATTTAATATCATGGCACACTTGTGCATGTGTACTAGTATTTGATTACACAGGCATGACTTTTTAGCTGTCATCTGTTTCTGAACTGAATATTATGCTAATAATGATAAGTAACATAAAAAAGGGACTCTGGTTTTCTTTCAAGTTTGGAGAATCAATCAATTCATTGTGAAAACATTTTTAATTTCTTACATAAGTTACTTTGATCTTGATAAGATCAAAATAGATCCAAATTAAATTGAAGAGGATTAAATTATGCAGTCTTATTCATTTCAGCCAGTCTGTCTAAAATCAGGTCCTATTTTTCAGGCAATAATAAATGAATGAAAATTTAAGAAAAAATATGCCTTACTTGAGTGAATCAGTCAATATGCATATTGACTGAAATTTTCAGTCAAAATACATATTGGGCCAGATTATAGACACTGACTGTAACATATGTAAGTATAATCTGTTATATGCAAAAACAAATAACATAAATAAATCCATTTATCTACTTGGGATGACTGTGGGGTTCAATTTGCATTTATTTAACCATCAGAAGATTTGATGATAAACTTTCATATTCATATTTTCATATAAATATACTTTATACTACAGGTGTCTTGAAGTACTGTTGAATGAAAATCAGGATACTTAGATACAGCAGGATAGTTTGTGGGCTTGTATGGGAAAAAAATTGTCAACATTAAAATAAATATGATGTTACTAAAATAAGAAGATAAAACTATGATTTAGATCTTTTTATGCATCATACACATTTTGTGGGGTAGTCAGTATGATTTGTTGTTTGTTGGGGCACATCTCTGTAATTAACTACTATTTTAAGAGCATGAGTATCAGAATTCTGTAAGAAATGATGGATCAATGAATTAACACCTGTGATGACTCAGAGCACTTAATGGTGGGACACATGTTATAAGGGTCAGAATAATATGGGTAAATCTCTTATTTCAAAGAATGATGACTGGTATGTATATTGCAAATGAGTAACTGAGTGCTCAATAGATGCATGGTAGATGTTCATTTGGCCTATTTCTAAAAAAATAATGTAAATTTAAATATTCAGATGCAAATTTAATTTTGATATAAAAAGATACATTTAAAATCAGTTGTTTTATTATTGTGAACGTTATTTCTTTTTAAAATATTTGTAAAGGCACGGATGTATACTTACTATATAGATCATTGGTAAAGGCCTGTCAAAGATGTCTGTGTGCTGCAAATGTTGGCGTATCACTAATTTTATTACATTGAAGTCCATGGTAGTATTTGTTGAGATTTGAATGCTTGAATTGTTGTGGGAAATAACACAAAGGCTGATAAATATAATGAGTTTGCATTATTTCATCGATGCAATATGTTAGCCCAGACTGACTAATGCCTCGCTGTTTTCTGACGTAGAAATTACCGTGGCAATATACCATTTTTCATGACGTTTTTCCCGCTATATTCCAAAGTGACAATTCGTCTTGTAGTTGAAGACTCAACAAATGTTCATATTATAAACTAATAATCACTACAAAATATGTGCTAGTTAAAAATATTCAGTTGTAAACGACTGTTTTTTAAAGAAGGGGCAACAGGATAACTCTTTAGCTTGGCTCCGTCTCTACGTGTCAGTAGTTGTCGCAGCGCGCATTGATCCGGGAACCAGACTGGAAGCGACAGTTTGGACCGTCGCTTATATCATTTCAAAAGGAGAGTTATTGCCCTTTGGAACAAAAAGATCGCCCATTGCATGTAGCCTGCAACCTCGGGGTATCGCGGTACTTGTCATGTACGCTAAACGGAACAAAATGCACTCACTAACCTTTATGTTTATTCGTGTTCTCTGTATCAGATATCATTCATGTTATCAAACAATGCATATTTTACTGATAACAGTTCATTATTTACATTAGTAGCTCCGAGTAAAAGTCGGGCCTCGCGCTCTGTTTGACAAGGGAGAGAACTCCATCGTATCGCGGTACAGAGAAAAGTTGTGTATGCAGGTCCGAATTGGACAAAAAGAGGACATAATTCTACCAACCACTTGGTATGATCATGCCAGACATCAGTGATTTGTCCAGACAAGTGCAAAGACAGCACAAGTAAAATTCTAAATGTGTTATCAGCAATAGGTATTCAATGCATATTTACCGAAAAGTAAGAGAAAAATATTTTTATGAGTCAACATCAAAAAATCAGAAATGATATTTTAAGATTGTTTAAAAAAAATTGGATGACAATAATTTGTCACAAAATGTTAAAATGTTAAAAGTCAACACTAAATATATAAAAAGCACTCCTAGTATGCCCAAAGTATGTACTTATCTTTTGGTTACTAGTGAAGAACGTATTTCTAAGTTTGGCATTATGGCCCTTATGATCTCCCAATAGTTTCTGGGCACAGAGCGGGAAGAATTGTGCGGACTACGTAACTTCCGTTGCCTCATTAGTCGCCATGAATATGCAGATGATCTAGTTCGGGTCGATAGAGAAAGTTTACTTTGGGAACTACGGGTTATATATCGTTGGCCATTGATAGATGGGGGTAAGGCAATATTACAAAAGATGCCAGAAATATGTATCAACGCATTAATAACTCCTAACTTACAGCAGACGGAACATTCCGAGGAAATTGAAATTGTTTACGAAGTGTGCACTTCCTGGTTACTGATTTGCATTAATAGACAGCTGCCAAGAGGCATGTCCCGCGTGAACTATCGGAAATCACAAATGCCCGATACGATGAATGCCGCGGTACCATGGGGTCCGAGTATACAGCTTGTGATCTGATTGATTCAAGTGAGTAGCTTTTTCAGTAAAAGTATCGGCATTCCTACATAGACCCGAGATATACCTTCTCTTTCAGGTATACTGTCCCTTGTCGTCTTTTCCATATTTTAATCACAGTAAATACTTTGCTACTTGCGCTCCAAGTTTGACACAGCTCGAGTACATTCATATACACTAAGTAAAACAAGTTTACATGTCCAATTACCTTTCTTTTAAAAAATAAAACATTCTCTATTAATTATTTATTAATGATGTAGTGATCGTAGGTTTCCGGAGGTCTTCGGAAAGGTTCGAGTAGGTCGTCCCGTGGCTGACTGCGGGAGACCCCAGATTCAGAAGTGTTGTCAGCCATCGTTGTAAGTAAACCAGGTCGAGTACCCAGCTCAATGCAGTATTGCATAATATACTGACTTGACGAACTGACAGCCCTTGTACGTGAGTAGAAAACAAGGTTTGTGAAACCGAGATATCGTTTTCACAACAATGACATAAAATAAAAACCGGGAGTGTAAACCCAGGTTAGAGTAACATTTTGAAATAACGATGCCTGATGTGGATTTGGAGAATCATACGACTTGTGATTATGACTTTGCATATTAATAATGCCACATTGTTGTAATGAATTATTTGTATTGTGGTATTAATACATTCTTCTTAACTGCAGTTAGATTGTTTAGTAAATCCATTTTAATTGTTTGAGTGGTTTTGAGGTAAACACCTTTGCTTCACCATGCCTCTTAACAGCGTTCTTTTTCAACTGATCTTCCCTTAACCACGGACTTGTATAACCGGTTATATAGGTCCGCGCCTTAACTAACCTGCTAGGGACGCTGACAAAGCCGGTACAATCTTAAAACTTATAGCGCATGTTGTACAGACATTAAACCAGTACATCCTTCGCCTTTATCAGTAACGTAAAATGTGGTGTATGGAGAATATATCTTTTCACCTAAACAGTGACATGTCTTATATTGTTTAACATGTTAAAGTAAACCACGTAATGGGTGCGGGTATATGGTGCCGTTTCTGATATCGTGAAGCGAGGCACTGGGTTCTGCTAATTGTTCCCGACAGTTCACATTGTTGACGATTTGCAATCTTGCCGTTAATGCTTGAATATTACACAAGAAAATATTTATATACATCTTTATTTCTTGTTATAAGAAGACTTTTCTCCAAATGCATTTAAAAAGGAACTACCTTTTTCCTGGGGACTATTGTACCCATGTGGGGCATTGTACCCATGTGGAGCAGTGTACCCATGTGGGGCATTGTACCCATGAGGAGCAGTGTACCCATGTGGGGCATTGTACCCATGTGGAGCATTGTACCCATGTGGGGCATTGTACCCATGTGGGCCATTGTACCCATGTGGGGCATTGTACCCATGTTGGGGATTGTACCCATGTGGGGCATTGTACCCATGTGGGGCATTGTACCCATGTGGCGCATTGTACCCATGTGGGGATTGTACCCATGTGGGGCATTGTACCCATGTGGGGCATTGTACCCATGTGGGGTATTGTACCCATGTTGGGGATTGTACCCATGTGGGGCATTGTACCCGTGCGGGGGATTGTAACCGTGCGGAGCATTGTACCGATGCGTAGCATTGTACCCATGTGGGGCATTGTACCCATGTGGAGCATTGTACCCATGTGGGGCATTGTACCCATGTGGGGCATTGTACCCATGTGGGGCATTGTACCCATGTGGAGCATTGTACCCATGTAGGGCATTGTACCCATGTGGGGATTGTACCCATGTGGGGCATTGTACCCATGTGGGGCATTGTACCCATGTGGGGCATTGTACCCATGTGGCACATTTTACCCATGTGGGGCATTGTACCCATGTGGGGCATTGTACCCATGTGGGGCATTGTACCCATGTGGGGCATTGTACCCATGTAGGGCATTGTACCCATTTGAGACATTGTACCCATGTGGGGCATTGTACCCATTTGGGACATTGTACCCATGTGGAGCATTGTACCCATGGGGAGCATTGTACCCATGGGGGGCATTGTACCCATGCGGGGCATTGTACCCATGTAGGGCATTGTACCCATGTGGGGCATTGTACCCATGCAGGGTATTGTACCCATTGGGGGTGTTGTACCCATGCGGGGTATTGTACCCATGCGGGGTGTTGTACCCATGTGGGGCATTGTACCCATGTGTGGCATTGTACCCATGTGGTGCATTGTACCCATGTGGGGCATTGTACCCATTTGGGACATTGTACCCATGTGGGGCATTGTACCCATGTGGGGCATTGTACCCATTTGGGACATTGTACCCATGTGGAGCATTGTACCCATGTGGAGCATTGTACCCATGTGGGGCATTGTACCCATGCGGGGCATTGTACCCATGTAGGGTATTGTACCCATGTGGGGCATTGTACCCCTGTGGAGCATTGTACCCATGTGGGGCATTGTACCCATGTGGGGCATTGTACCCATGTGGGGCATTGTACCCATGTGGGGCATTGTACCCTTGTGGAGCATTGTACCCATGTGGAGCATTGTACCCATGTGGGGCATTGTACCCATGTGGGGCATTGTACCCATGTGGCGCATTGTACCCATGTGGGGCATTGTACCCATGTGGCGCATTTCACCCGTGTGGCGCATTGAACCCATGTGGCGCATTGTACCTATCTGGGGCATTGTACCCATGTGGCGCATTGTACCCATGTGGGGCATTGTACCCATGTGGGGCATTGTACCCATGTGGGGCATTGTACCCATGTGGGGCATTGTACCCATGTGGGGCTTTGTACCCATGTGGGGCATTGTACCCATGTGGCACATTGTACCCATGTGGTGCATTGTACCCATGTGGAGTATTGTACCCATGTGGGGCATTGTACCCATTTGAGACATTGTACCCATGTGGGGCATTGTACCCATGTGGGGCATTGTACCCATTTGGGACATTGTACCCATGTGGAGCATTATACCCATGTGGAGCATTGTACCCATGGGGGGCATTGTACCCATGCGGGGCATTGTACCCATGTAGGGTATTGTACCCATGCGGGGCATTGTACCCATGCGGGGTATTGTACCCATGCGGGGTGTTGTACCCATGCGGGGTATTGTACCCATGTGGGGTATTGTACCCATGTGGGGCATTGTACCCATGTGGTGCATTGTACCCATGTGGAGCATTGTACCCGTGTGGGGCATTGTACCCATTTGGGACATTGTACCCATGTGGGGCATTGTACCCATTTGGGACATTGTACCCATGTGGAGCATTGTACCCATGTGGAGCATTGTACCCATGCGGGGCATTGTACCCATGTAGGGTATTGTACCCATGTGGGGCATTGTACCCATGTGGAGCATTGTACCCATGTGGGGCATTGTACCCATGTGGCGCATTTCACCCATGTGGGGCATTGTACCCATGTGGCGCATTGTACCTACCTGGGGCATTGTACCCATGTGGCGCATTGTACCCATGTGGGGCATTGTACCCATGTGGGGCATTGTACCCATTAGGGGCATTGTACCCATGTGGCGCATTGTACCCATGTGGGGCATTGTACCCATGTAGGGCATTGTACCCATGTGGGGCTTTGTACCCATGTGGAAGATTGTACCCATGCGGGGTATTGTACCCATGTGTGGTATTGTACCCATGTGGGGCATTGTACCCATGTGGGGCATTGTACCCATGTGGAGCATTGTACCCATGTGGAGCATTGTACCCATGTGTGGTATTGTACCAATGTGGGGCATTGTACCCATGCGGGACATTGTACCCATGTGGGGCATTGTACCCATTTGGGGCATTGTACCCATGTGGAGCATTGTACCCATGTGGGGCATTGTACCCATGTGGGGCATTGTACCCATGTGGAGCATTGTACCCATGTGGGGCATTGTACCCATGTGGAGCTTTGTACCCATGTGGGGCATTGTACACATGTGGAGCATTGTACCCATGTGGCGCATTGTACCCATGTGGCGCATTTAACCCATGTGGCGCATTGTACCCATGTGGCGCATTGTACCCATGTGGCGCATTTCACCCATGTGGCGCATTTCACCCATGTCGCGCATTGTACCCATGTGGCGCATTGTACCCATGTGGGGCATTGTACCCCTGTGGAGCATTGTACCCCTGTGGAGCATTGTACCCATGTCGGGAATTGTACCCATGTGGGGAATTGTACCCTTGTGGCGCATTGTACCCATGTGGAGCATTGTACCCATATGGGGTATTGTACCCATTTGGGACATTGTACCCATGTAGAGCATTGTACCCATGTGGGGTATTGTACCCATGTGGGGCATTGTACCCATGTGGCCCATGGTACCCATGTGGGGCATTGTACCCATTTGGGGCATTGTACCCATGTGGGGCAATGTACCCATGTGGGGTATTGTACCCATGTGGAGCATTGTACCCATGCAGGGTATTGTACCCATGTGGGGTATTGTAACCATGTGGGGCATTGTACCCATGTGGGGCATTGTACCCATGCAGGGTATTGTACCCATGTGGGGTATTGTACCCATGTTGGGCATTGTACCCATGTGGGGCATTGTACCCATGTAGGGTATTGTACGCATGTGGGGCATTGTACCCATGTGGGGCATTGTACCCATGTGGGGCATTGTACCCATGTAGGGTATTGTACCAATGTGGGGGATTGTACCCATGTAGGGCATTGTACCAATTTGGGGCATTGTACCCATGTAGGGCATTGTACCCATGTGGGGCATTGTACCCATGTGGCCCATTGTACCCATTTGGCCCATGGTACCCATGTGGGGCATTGTACCCATGTGGGGCATTGTACCCATGTGGGGCATTGTACCCCTGTGTAGCATTGTACCCATGTGGGGCATTGTACCCATGTGGGGCATTGTATCCATGTGGAGCATTGTACCCATGTGGGGCATTGTACCCATGTGGAGCATTGTACCCATGTGGGGCATTGAAGCCAAGTGGGGCATTGTACCCATGTGGCGCATTGTACCCATGTGGGGCATTGTACCCATGTGGGGCATTGTACCCATGTGGAAGATTGTACCCATGCGGGGTATTGTACCCATGTAGGGCATTGTAGCAATGTGTGGCATTGTACCCATGTGGAGGATTGTACCCATGTGGAGCATTGTACCCATGTGGGGCATTGTACCCATTCGGGGCATTGTACCCATGTGGCGCATTGTACCACGGGGGCATTGTACCCATGTGGGGCATTGTACCCATGTAGGGCATTGTGCCAATGTGGGGCATTGTACCCATGTGGAGCATTGTACCCATGTGAGGCATTGTACCCATGTAGGGCATTGTAGCCATGTGGGGCATTGTAGCCATGTAGGGCATTGTACCCATGTGGGGCATTGTACCCATGTGGGGCATTGTATCCATGTGGAGCATTGTACCCATGTGGGGCATTGTACCCATGTGGGGCATTGTACCCATGTGGGGCATTGTACCCATGTGGAGCATTGTACCCATGTGGGGCATTGTACCCATGTGGAGCATTGTACCCATGTGGGGCATTGTACCCATGTGGAGCATTGTATCCATGTGGAGCATTGTACCCATGTGGGGCATTGTACCCATGTGGAGCATTGTACCCATGTGGGGCATTGTACCCATGTGGCGCATTGTACCCATGTGGGGCATTGTACCCATGTGGCGCATTGTACCCATGTGGGGCATTGTACCCATGTGGGGTATTGTACCCATGCGGGGTATTGTACCCATGTGGGGCATTGTACCCATGTGGGTTATTGAACCCATGTGGGGTATTGTACCCATGTGGGGCATTGTACCCATGTGGGGCATTGTACCCATGTGGGGTTTTGTACCCATGTGGAGCATTGTACCCATGTGGAGGTATTGTACCCATGTGGGGCATTGTACCCATGTGGGGTATTGTACCCATGTGGGGTATTGTACCCATGTGGAGCATTGTACCCATGCGGGGTATTGTACCCATGCGGGGCATTGTACCCATGTGGGGCATTGTACCCATGTGGGGCATTGTACCCATGTAGGGCATTGTACCCATGTGGGGCATTGTACCCATGTAGGGCATTGTACCCATGTAGGGTATTGTACCCATGTAGGGTATTGTACCCATGTGGGGCATTGTACCCATGTGGGGCATTGTACCCATGTAGGGTATTGTACCCATGTAGGGCATTGTACCCATGTAGGGCATTGTACCCATGTAGGGTATTGTACCCATGTAGGGTATTGTACCCGTGTGGAGCATTGTACCCATGTGGGGCATTGTACCCATGTAGGGTATTGTACCCATGTGGAGCATTGTACCCATAAGGGGTTAGGTCCGAATCCCCTCAACAGGATGTAACACGTTCTACTTCTTGTAGTCCTGCCAAGGTATGGTGAGATTTGTGAGACGTGTCTCGTACTTCTGCAATTTGGTGAAGACATCTCACATGACAATAGCACAAATAACACATAACCATTTCCCATCAATGAGTGAAGCCTGTCAGCAAAGAAAGAAATATGTAATTTATGGTCTATAATCTGTTTAACTGAAAACTACTATATTGAATTGAAAATCGGTGTTATTAAGAGAATGGATATATATATAAATACATACAAGGTAAATGCCTGACTACATCTGGAAGGGTTAATACAGACATACAAATATATACACGTTAGGTACACAAAGACAGACAAGGTAAATGCCTGACTACATCTGGAAGGGTTAATACAGACGTACAAATATATACACGGTAGGTACACAAAGACAGACAAGGTAAATGCCTGACTACATCTGGAAGGGTTAATACAGACGTACAAATATATACACGGTAGGTACACAATGACAGACAAGGTAAATGACTGACTACATCTGGAAGGGTTAATACAGACGTACAAATATATACACGTTAGGTACACAAAGACAGACTAGGTAAATGCCTGACTACATCTGGAAGGGTTAATACAGACGTACAAATATATACACAGTAGGTACACAAAGATAGACAAGGTAAATGCCTGACTACATCTGGAAGGGTTAATACAGACATACAAATATATACACGGTAGGTACACAAAGACAGACTAGGTAAATGCCTGACTACATCTGGAAGGGTTAATACAGACATACAAATATATACACAGTAGGTACACAAAGACAGACTAGGTAAATGCCTGACTACATCTGGAAGGGTTAATACAGACATACAAATATACACGGTAGGTACACAAAGACAGACAAGGTAAATGACTGACTACATCAGGAAGGGTTAATATAGACGTACAAATATATATACACAGTAGGTACACAAAGACAGACTAGGTAAATGCCTGACTACATCAGGAAGGGTTAATACAGACGTACAAATATATACACAGTAGGTACACAAAGACAGACAAGGTAAATGACTGACTACATCAGGAAGGGTTAATACAGACATACAAATATATACACGGTAGGTACACAAAGATAGACAAGGTAAATGCCTGACTACATCTGGAAGGGTTAATACAGACTTTTAGTCTTTTATCCATTATGTAATCAATCATAAGATCATGATTGTAATATTGCTATTGTTAGCTTCTGTAAATATTTCTTGACAAGTTGCAATGAGGTTTGGACAGTCTGCCAGTGCTCAGCATTAATAAAATGTGTTATGAATTATGGGATATGGTTGTTTGTTTGTTCAGGTAGATAGAACAACTACACCTGAGATGGCCAGTTCAGATGACCTCACAATTGTGTTGCCAACACAGGATGAATCTGAAGACGAGAGGATAGAGGTTATCACCTCAGAAGGTATTCCACAGGCAATCAACTCAGGTCTGTTGGTATTTCTATTTCACAGTTAAATCTGCGTTTAATTACCTAGTTCAACCAAAAAATCATTTTAAAACATAAAGTGACCAAATCACCTGAAATCAACGATTAAGTACTGTACCTTCAAGGCAGATGTGTGGCCCCATTCCATGTATAATTGATTTATGATAGAAAATATAACAGTTGGTGAAGGTAGGTTCAACCACCTTGACAGGTTTGAAGGAAACTAAGAAGTTAGGACACTGATGGAGGTTGCATATGGCACAATATGGTTGCCTACAAAAGTAGAAGATGTTTCACATATTGATATCTCTCACATGTTTGATGCCACCGTCAGCAATGTTGCGGATACATGCATTTCACGGCATCACATATAAACTAGTCGTGTTCAATATTTAAAACAATCAACTTTAATCTCGAAAAAGATTGTTTGTGTTGCTTGTAACTAAGTTATTTTATTCTTAAATACTGTTGACAAATTGAAAATTTCACAACTATTTTTTTAAAACTAACCAGACTGTGATTTCCTGGGTAGAGAGAGAGAGAGAGAGAGACTAGAATTGGGGATCATGAGTCGAGACAAACTGTTGATCATGCCAAATATTCAAAACATGGATTATAAACCCACAGCATAAGCATTCTTAATTGTAATTTTATTTCATTACAAATGAAACGAACAAGGTTGTTTTTGTTTGTAGCTACCCTTGATCTCCGTATAGATGATGCCAAAGAAATATTTGTTGAAACGGAGAGCTTCAGGAATGTGAAAAGGAAACTGAAGGATTTTGGTCATGTCACCATCTGTGGTGCTTCAGGGGAAGGTAAAACTACAGCAGCTCTCGTGCTGGGTTCACAGTACAGACAACAGGGGTACAAACTTGCATTTGTGGACAGAATTGAACAGTTTGACTTGGATAGCTTCTTGAGCTCATCACCAAGAGTATTTCTGATCGTAGATGATATGTTTGGTACTGTTGGATTATCTGCAGATGTTTCACAGCTTACAACAATTCTCAATACACTTTATCAACACTTACAACACTGCAAAAAAGAATCTGAGAAACGAAAGCAGCAACCTAAGAAAGAAAGTAAAAATGAAAGTAAAACGAGTGGAGTTTCTGACCCAAAAGAACATCCCACAAAGGATATTCGTGTTATCTTCACATCCAAGACATATAACTTCCATGCTGGACTTGCCCAGCTGCAGTATGAGAGATTTGCACTGTTCAAGAGTCAAACAGTAATGGATTTAACAACTCAGAAGCAGCACCGGTATACTGAAGCAGAGAAAAAGGCTATATATGAACACCATAGGAATCGACACAGAGAATCTTCTGGTGAAGATTGTGAAGATCTACCTGACTATGAAGACTTGGACACAGATTCAAATACTTTTGGAATTCCTCTTACTTGTAAACTTTTTTTTGAATTTTCATCTTTTACCCGAAATGCAAAGACATTTTTCAAGGAACCTCTACTTTATCTCACGCTAGAACTTCGAAAATTACTGAAATCCAACACTGATCGATCTGCCATATTAATTCTAATGCTACTGTGTGAGGATAAGTTAGATTTGGCCAAGTTGCAAGCAGACGGCAAGGACCAGAAACTGGACATCATGGTCAGAACTGTTTTAGAGTTACGGCCAAAAGCTTCACGTTTAGGAATGCACGAAACGGCAACGACTTTTAGAGGAACATTCTTTACCCGTGGTGATGTTGTTGGATTTGCCCATTCCTCGATATCTGACGCTTGCGCTTGTTCGTTGTTTGACATCAGTCCAACATTTGTGCTGACTCATTGCAGTGACAATTTTATATATGAGCGTGTGCAGCCACAGCCAGTAGAGGAAACCATAATTGATGATCATCTCCACCTGATCTATGTCTCAGAAGCATATCATGACATCCTCACTACACGATTTGCTGAGTCAATAAAGAATGGTCAGTTTTCAAAATCAGTGACACACCCCATTCTCCAACAAGAACAAGTAGCTCTTCAATTACTTGAGAAACTACAACATGATGGATCCATGGACAAATGCTGGGTCCACAAGAGAGAAAAGGAGCATTGCTTTTTGTTTTGGGCAGTTCTTGGACATAATAACAATTTTGTCTTTGAAATAGAAAACATAACCCGAGAAGAATTGACACAAGCAGAGATCAGTGAAGCAATGTTAGGTTGTGTGTTAAAAAATAACCTGACCGCATTAAAGTGGCTTTTCTCCAGAAGTGAAAGTCCAGACATTGGTATTAACAGTTTGCTTTGGCTGGCAGCTGCAACTGGGAGTTCGGAAGTACTTGTTTATCTAATAGAAAATGGTGCCAATGTATCAAGTACTGATGCAGACAAGAGAACCATCATACACCTAGCATGCATGGCAGGACATGCGAAGACACTAACGGTATTAAAAGAACACGACATCAAACACTTTAATGATGAGTTGAAGGATAAAGTGATGAACTCTACAGATAATGAAGGCAGGACTCCTCTTATGGTTGCAGCACTCACAGGATCTAATGATTGCTATCAGGTATTGCAATCAATATCAAACAAGAAAACCAAAGACTACAATGGAGATGACATAGTTCAGCTAGCCTGTATGGGTGGCAACGAGGCTATAGTACAACATCTTGTGTCCTCTTCAAATACATGTATCAATACTAGAGGGTGGATATATGGGTGGACTCCCGTAATGATGGCAGCCTTCAAAGGACAGCAAAGTGTGTTTGACCTCCTAGTATCTAAAGATGCTGACCTGACACAGGTGGACAAAAACGGCAATGGTTTACTTTATGTTGCCTGTTGTGGCGGTAACACGGCCATAGTACAATATCTTGTGTCCTCTTCAAATACATGTATCAATACTAGAGGACAGTATGGGAGGACTCCTGTAATGATGGCAGCCTTCAACGGACACCAAAGTGTGTTTGACCTCCTTGTATCTAAAAATGCTGACCTGACACTGGTGAACAACAACGGTGATAGTTTACTTCATCTTGCCTGTTATGGTGGTAACACTGCCATAGTACAATATCTTGTGTCCCCTTCAAATGTCAATACTAGAGGACAGAACGGGTGGACTCCTGTAATGATAGCAGCCGTCAAAGGACATCAAAGTGTGTTTGACCTCCTGGTATCTAAACATGCTGACCTGACACTGGTGGACAACAACGGTGATAGTTTACTTCATCTTGCCTGTTATGGTGGTAACACTGCCATAGTACAATATCTTGTGTCCCCTTCAAATGTCAATACTAGAGGACAAAACGGGTTGACTCCTGTAATGATGGCAGCCTTCAAAGGACATCAAAGTATGTTTTACCTCCTGGTATCTAAAAATGCTGACCTGACACTGGTGGACAACAACGGTGATAGTTTACTTCATAATGCCTGTTTTGGTGGTAACACCGCCATAGTACAATATCTTGTGTCCCCTTCAAATGTCAATACTAGAGGACAAAACGGGTTGACTCCTGTAATGATGGCAGCTGCCAAAGGACATCAAAGTATGTTTGACCTCCTGGTATCTAAAGATGCTGACCTGACACTGGTGGATAAAGACAGCAATGGTTTACTTCATCTTGCCTGTTATGGTGGTGACACCGCCATAGTACAATATGTTGTGTCCCCTTCAAATGTCAATACCAGAGGACAGAACGGGTGGACTTCTGTAATGATGGCAGCCTTCAAAGGACACCAAAGTGTGTTTGACCTCCTGATATCTAAAGATGCTGACCTGACACTGGTGGACAACAACGGTGATAGTTTACTTCTGATTGCCTGCAAAGGCGGTGACACCGCCATAGTACAATATGTTGTGTCTCCTTCAAATGTCAATACGAGAGGACAGAACGGATGGACTCCTGTAATGATTGCAGCCGTCAAAGGACATCAAAGTGTGTTTGACCTCCTAGTATCTAAAGATGCTGACCTGACACTGGTTGACAACAACGGTGATAGTTTACTTCATAATTCCTGTTTTGGTGGTAACAACGCCATAGTACAATATCTTGTGTCTCCTTCAAATGTCAATACCAGAGGACAGAACGGATGGACTCCTGTAATGATGGCAGCCGTCAAAGGACATCAAAGTGTGTTTGACCTCCTGATATCTAAAGATGCTGACCTGACACTGGTAGACAACGACGTTGATAGTTTACTTCATCTTGCCTGTTATGGTGGTGACACCGCCATAGTACAATATCTTGTGTCCCCTTCAAATGTCAATACTAGAGGACAGTGTGGGTGGACTCCTGTAATGATGGCAGCCTTCAAAGGACATCAAAGTATGTTTGACCTCCTGGTATCTAAAAATGCTGACCTGACACTGGTGGACAACACCGGTGATAGTTTACTTCTCAATGCCTGTTTTGGTGGTAACACTGCCATAGTACAATATCTTGTGTCCCCTTCAAATGTCAATACTAGAGGACAGTATGGGTGGACTCCTGTAATGATGGCAGCCTTCAAAGGACACCAAAGTGTGTTTGACCTCCTGGTATCTAAACATGCTGACCTGACACTGGTGGACAACAACGGTGATAGTTTACTTCATATTGCCTGCAATGGCGGTGACACCGCCATAGTACAATATCTTGTGTCCCTTTCAAATGTCAATACTAGAGGACAGAATGGGAGGACTCCTGTAATGATGGCAGCCTCCAAAGGACACCAAAGTGTGTTTGAACTCCTGATATCTAAAGATGCTGACCTGACACTGGTAGACAACAATGGCAATAGTTTACTTCATCTTGCCTGCAATGGCGGAAACACGGCCATAGTACAATATCTTGTGTCCCCATCAAATATCAATACTAGAGGACAGAACGAGTGGACTCCTGTAATGATGGCAGCCATGAAAAGACATCAAATTGTGTTTGACCTCCTTGTATCTAAAAATGCTGACCTGACACTGGTGGACAAAGACGGTGATAGTTTACTTCATATTGCCTGCAATGACGGTGACACCGCCATAGTACAATATCTTGTTTCCCCATCAAATATCAATACTAGAGGACAGTATGGGAGGACTCCTGTGATGATGGCAGCCTTCAAAGGACACCAAAGTATGTTTGACCTCCTGGTATCTAAAGATGCTGACCTGACACTGATGGACAAAGACGGTGATAGTTTACTTCATAATGCCTGTTTTGGTGGTAACACCGCCATAGTACAGTATCTTGTTTCCCCTTCAAATGTCAAAACTAGAGGACAGTATGGGTGGACTCCTGTAATGATGGCAGCCGTCAAAGGACATCAAAGTGTGTTTGACCTCCTGGTATCTAAACATGCTGACCTGACACTGGCGGACAACAACGGTGATAGTTTACTTCATCTTGCCTGCAATGGCGGTGACACTGCCATAGTACAATATCTTGTTTCCCCATCAAATATCAATACTAGAGGACAGTATGGGAGGACTCCTGTGATGCTGGCAGCCTTCAAAGGACACCAAAGTATGTTTGACCTCCTGGTATCTAAACATGCTGACCTGACACTGGTGGACAAAGACGGTGATAGTTTACTTCATAATGCCTGTTTTGGTGGTAACACTGCCATAGTACAAAATCTTGTTTCCCCATCAAATATCAATACTAGAGGACAGTATGGGTGGACTCCTGTAATGCTGGCAGCCTTCAAAGGACACCAAAGTGTGTTTGACCTCCTGATATCTAAACATGCTGACCTGACACTGGTGGACAAAGACGGCAATGGTGTACTTCATCTTGCCTGTTATGGTGGTAACACCGCCATAGTACAATATCTTGTGTCCCCTTCAAATGTCAATACTAGAGGACAGTATGGGAGGACTCCTGTAATGAAGGCAGCCTCCAAAGGACACCAAAGTGTGTTTGACCTCCTGATATCTAAAGATGCTGACCTGACACTGGTGGACAACAACGGTGATAGTTTACTTCATATTGCCTGCCATGTCGGTGACACCGCCATAGTACAATATCTTGTGTCCCTTTCAAATGTCAATACTACAGGACAGTATGGGAGGACTCCTGTAATGATGGCAGCCTCCAAAGGACACCAAAGTGTGTTTGACCTCCTGATATCTAAAGATGCTGACCTGACACTGGTGGACAAAGACGGCAATGGTTTATTTCATCTTGCCTGTTATGGTGGTAACACCGCCATAGTACAATACCTTGTGTCCCCTTCAAATGTCAATACTAGAGGACAGAACGGGTGGACTCCTGTAATGATGGCAGCCTTCAAAGGATATCAAAGTGTGTTTGACCTCCTGGTATCTAAACATGCTGACCTGACACTGGTGGACAAAGACGGTGATAGTTTACTTCATCTTGCCTGCAAAGGCGGTGACACCGCCATAGTACAATATCTTGTGTCCCCTTCAAATATCAATACTAGAGGACGGAACGGGTGGACTCCTGTAATGATGGCATGCATCAAAGGACATCAAAGTGTGTTTGACCTCCTAGTATCTAAAGATGCTGACCTGACACTGGTGGACAACAACGGTGATAGTTTACTTCATGATGCCTGTTTTGGTGGTAACACCGCCATAGTACAATATGTTGTGTCCCCTTCAAATGTCAATACTAGAGGACAGTATGGGTGGACTCCTGTAATGCTGGCAGCCTTCAATGGACATCAAAGTGTGTTTGACCTCCTAGTATCTAAAGATGCTGACCTGACACTGGTAGACAACGACGTTGATAGTTTACTTCATCTTGCCTGCTATGGTGGTAACACCGCCATAGTACAGTATGTTGTGTCCCCTTCAAATGTCAATACTAGAGGACAGAACGGGTGGACTCCTGTAATGATGGCAGCCTTCAAAGGACACCAAAGTGTGTTTGACCTCCTAGTATCTAAAAATGCTGACCTGACACTGGTGGACAAAGACGGCAATGGTTTACTTCATCTTGCCTGTTGTGGTGGTAACACCGCCATAGTACAATATTTGTGTCCCTTTCAAATATCAATACTAGAGGACAGTATGGGTGGACTCCTGTAATGCTGGCAGCCTTCAATGGATATCAAAGTGTGTTTGACCTCCTGGTATCTAAAAATGCTGACCTGACACTGGTGGACAACAACGGTGATAGTTTACTTCATAATGCCTGTTTTGGTGGTAACACCGCCATAGTACAATATGTTGTGTCCCCTTCAAATGTCAATACTAGAGGACAGTATGGGTGGACTCCTGTAATGCTGGCAGCCTTCAATGGACATCAAAGTGTGTTTGACCTCCTAGTATCTAAAGATGCTGACCTGACACTGGTAGACAACGACGTTGATAGTTTACTTCATCTTGCCTGCTATGGTGGTAACACTGCCATAGTACAATATCTTGTGTCCCCTTCAAATGTCAATACTAGAGGACAGAACGGGTGGACTCCTGTAATGATGGCAGCCTTCAATGGACATCAAAGTGTGTTTGACCTCCTAGTATCTAAAAATGCTGACCTGACACACTGGATAGCAATGATAATAGTTTACTGGATAATACCTTTAGTCAGATCAAGACAGCGATAGTATAACAACAGCGTCCCCTGCGTTCATTGTTAAATCGATTTAGGTATTTCTTGTATAATGTGAGAGTTTGCTGACACGTAAGCATCGAACATTGGGGTCTCTAATCTGCTGTTTACAATCACCAGTGTGTTTGTTGACACGTAAGCATCGAACATTGGGGTCTCTAATCTGCTGTTTGTTTACAGTGACTCCATCTTTTCATTCCAAACATCTCCTAACATACACCACATCTTTGCTGCGTCATAAGAGTGGCGTCATTTATATGTCATTGTCAGTTACACTGAAGAGCTGTCATGAGGCATAATTGTTTTATGGACACAATGTTGTTATAACTTTTGATGACTTCATGTGTTTCTTAAAAGTCACTAATTTACACGTAGGGGGGTTTGTGAACACATGAATACCCCGGGTAATACAAATAAATCTTCATAAAGTTGAGTAGTATTGAATTACATGTACACGTTTTCGTCGGTGCAAAATATAAGGAAAAATGTGCATGTGCTTTAAAAGTGTGAGTGAGTGAGTTTGGTTTTACGCCGTTTTTAGCAATATTCCAGCAATATCACGGCGGGGGACACCAGAAATGGCTTTAAAAGAGACTGGATTTAAAGTAAATATATGTATTCTTCATTCAGTCTTTACGCTCACTACCCTGGTACAATATTGTAACATTCCTGAGGCGTAATGTCGCGTATTGCTTGTATATGATAATGTGAACTGTTACAGGTCAATCCAAATGCGTAGGTCAAGGTCATTATTGTCAAGGTCATCAAAAACGGAATATTCATTGTTTATATATTTCCATGTCACTGTATGTTAGTATTTTTTAGTTGTTCAACCTTGGTCCTCTATGGAATTACAATTGGTTGAATAGAGTGAGTGAGTTGGGTTTAACGCCGCTTTTAACAGTATTCCAGTTATATGCCGCTTTTAACAGTATTCCAGTTATATCGCGGCCTGTCAGCTTAATGTGGGAGGAAAGCCCGAATCGATGCAGGTCTCAGACGTTTACCACTTCTGTGAAACCCACGAGCACGGGTATGGTGCTGACAAACCTAGAAACATAATCGGGGCGAACCGGGATTCGAACCCACAATCATAGGTTTATGGCGTGCCCAAGGGACGCAACTCTGCACAGCGAATCGCGGCGCCTTAGACGACTGGGCCACCCATGCCCCCGGTTGTATAGAATAAGAGGGAGATTAGGTGTGGATGTAATACTACAAAATGTAATATAACTGTTTATAAATAATGGTAAATTCATTCTCTTTTGGTCTGGCTTTTATTGTATCATCATTTCAGATGTCTTTAAAGAAGTTATTTTTTCACATTTTCATGCGTGTGTGTCTTGTGTGTATATCCAGGCAATAATGCAATGTCTCACACAAAGAAACGTGAAAACACTTTATGAATGCCTCATTACACTGTTTCTGGATTTATTTTACTGCTTATCATTATGGTGAGTGAGTGAGTGAGTTGGGTTTAACGCCGCTTTTAACAGTATTCCAGTTATATTGTAACAGTGCTAAAATTGCTATATTTTATTCAACTTTTTGTGAAATTCGCCTTCAATTCATAAGTTGTCGGTTAACCATTTAAGACCTGTTGGTACATACTAGCGATAAGAAATTGCATCTAGCACTTCAGATTTACGCCGCCACGATCAGGTCGGCGGGCGAGGCTTTAATTACATGTTGAATAACAACTGGTAGTGGTCAGCGCGTTCGGCACTTACCAGTGTACCGTTATCAGCTATTTAGCGTCAACTGACCAAACTAGAAAATTGAAAACGCGAAACCAAACACAAGCTGAGTGATTCTATCGGCATTTATAATAACTTTCCAAACTGACCGTGGGCTTTGGCTATTAACAGACCAAACCCATCATACAAAATTGTATAACATGTCCAGTCTTTATTAGTCCAAAGTCTAAAATTTCAAACTGGACATGCTCGTGTAGACTTGCCTTCAGATTAACAAAGGAGGTCTCAGGTATAAATATAGGGGGAAATCGACTGTTAGTCATTCCTGCTTTGCCTGAGAACTTCTCTCTGTTTGTCTTTGAAGGTAAGTCACTTTTACTTGTTACTTTGGCATTTAGGTTGAACTTTGCTTAAAATTGTCTTTTAAAATTGTCTTTAATTTTGTATGAATATCTTGCTTGAACAATGAACTTATACTCTATGTATTCGAAATGCCGTGCGAATCTAAGCTGCATATTATTCAAGTTTTACTGATACAAATTAACTACAGTACTTTATATGCGTGCGTCGCATGTAGAAATATTACTATTCCACAATCAGTGTTCGTTTCCCACATGTTTATTTATCGGGTTAAAACTACTAGGCAAATACATTTGTAATTAGTAATCACAGGTGTCGTGGATGCTTCATAATTATCATGTTTTAATGTGAATAGCGTGCATTATAATAATGTATGAATTATTTGTCCATGTATCGGTAGGACCACCATTCATATGTGTGTCGTGTTTTTTACCTTATTGTATGCTGTATCGTTAGTAGAGTGGTTTTATAATGCAACAACGTTAAATGCGTCAATATGCATTAACATGATCCAGTTACTCGATATAATTTACGTTATGTATATTTGTTTGCGTTCTTATGCCTGATAAATACGGTTCAAGAATATAACTTATATCCGATGTTCATGCATCAAATATATTCTTTATATACAAAACCAGATCAGTGCAAGTACAGCAAAGTATATTATTCTTATCTGTAGCCCAAAATATATTTCTCATAAGGTAACTACTTTGTGAGGGCATATCACTAGACTACAATACTTGAACGTAACTTTTTGTTCTAGATAAATGCACGCAAATTAAGCAATGCCTGATAAATTTATGTTTTCCAATTTATGCATATTACTTCCATTCGGTAAGATGAATGGACGCTGTATAGAATATCTCAGATACTATTCTTTTAGCATAATTTGGACGCTACAGATAACGTAGTTGTTTTATGTTGTAGAATAGTTATAATGAAACAGGCTTCCTATAGCAGTATTTATATTCATTTCTAAATTACAGTTCACGAGCAATTTCTCTGTTTTCACAAAACATTCACAATAGAACATACGTTCACTAATAATCAGTTTTTAATTCATATATATTTCAAGTTTCAAATACGGTATTTATTCATGTGTGATTTGTATAAGCTCGGCCCGCATAGCACGGCATGCACGGGCGGCACCGCTCATTGTTATATAACGGCACACTCGCCAGCGCTCGGCAGTGACGTCACGTACCGTATTTAACCATGTTGCGCATAGCTGTTATCTGAATTTAGTATAATGTATTCAGTCATTGAATGCAGGTCCCATTATTATTTACCGTATTAAATCTTGTGTTCACTATTTAACTCTGGAGTGTACACCTGAATCAGCTATAGTTCATGACGACACATGTACCGTATTTAATGTAAAATAAGTTATCAGACATGTCTTTGTTCAAGAAAGGTGTTGTTATAATCTTTCATATGAAGGCTTTTGTAAACATTGTTCAGATGTTATTTATGAGCACCTTAAATATATAGACCAAACATTATGAGTCATTATCAATGAGTAATTTAATGTGAATTGATTATAATGTCGGCATTATATCAAATGTTTACTGCTATAATATAAATGAATATCCAATGAGTTGAGCTTACACTTTACACTTTGTTATTATTTTACAAATGGTGTTTTAATTATAAATGTGTTACGTAATCTTTTGCAATGTTATATTAGGCTGTAACTTGAATGGGTACTGATACGTCTCTGAAGTTAAGGCATTGTTCTCAAAGTGAGATCACATAACAAGCAATTGTTTATTAACTCATGCCTATTATATAACAAAGAATATCTTAACAGTTTTGGTATCACTGCTTAATTATTTGTCTGATTATGTCTATATGCTTGATGATGAAGGAGATTGTCTGACTATGTCTATATGCTTGATGATGATGGAGATTGTCTGACTATGTCTATATGTTTGATGATGATGAAGGAGATTGTCTGACTATGTCTATATGCTTGATGATGATGAAAACATTTAATAAAGAATTCCTGCTTTGCCTGAGAACTTCTCTCTGTTTGTCTTTGAAGGTGTGTTGATCCCGTGGCTAATTCCCCGAAAGCATTCTAGGTTTTGATCAGTTTTAGTGTAAAAACTAACTCTGTTTCAATATCATGGCGTGCCAGCTTAATGTGGGAGGAAAGCCCCAGGTGATACAGGTCTCAGACGTTTACCACTTCGGTGAAACCCACGAGCACGGGTGTTGTGCTGACAAACCTAGAAACATAATCAAGGCGAACCGGGATTCGAACCCACAATCAGGTTTCTGGCGTGCCCAAGGGACGCAACTCTGCACAGCGAATAGTGGCGCCTGAGACGACTGGACTGACAACCTAAGTACTTGTGGCCGATTGTTGATTTAATTTGAAGTAATTTATCCATACCTACTTGAGTGTCCCACTTCTTTTGCATTAGATATCTGATACAACTTCTAGTCCTAGGTTTACACTCACTGTATGGTATCAGAAGTGGTGTCCCAGATCTGTTGAGTGCTGATTTAGTTACCAATGATTCCAACATGGCTAGATAACCGACAAAGGACGATGTCGCATTGGCTGGTAGCCAGGTTGTCATGTAATTCAATGATGTCAAGTAAAACTGTATGCTGACGCAAATTATGTCTTAAAGCCTGAAGACATGACAGTCTGAAGAAATAATGAATTGGCTATGTTTAGACTGTTATTGATGTATTCTTGAGCTGTGGAAATGACTTTTGATTCGACTGTGAAAGGGGAAGAACTATGTGGTAATCTGGTTGAAAAACGTCTGGATCCAACGATGGTGGTGTTGGCAACAGCGTCACCATCCTTGGACCCATCGGAAAATTTCGATTTGTAAGTATTAGATGTACTTCAAACTGATTACATTTTAGTTTATACTGTTTCTGATTTGGTTAGTTAAGTCAAGGCGGAGAAGTCACCAAGCGGAAGGATATTTGTTATCAAGTTTAATATTAGCAGGAGAACTAAAAGGTTTAATTCTAATTCAAACATTTTATTATTCAGATCCCCATAAAGGGGGTTAAACACAATGTTGTATGCAGGATTGGACTCATTGTAATATAAATTTGTGATATACTGTTAAGATAGTTTAATGTGGGTTTAAGAGATCGGTCTCAGCGTACAGACTGTCAAAAGAAGTTTGGAAAGATACAAGACAAAGTCTTAGAACTTGATGGTGGATAGTATTTAATATCCTAAGGTTGCTTTTAAGGGTTCCACCATAGTTGATTGAACCAAAGTGGAGTTTTGAAAGAATAAGTGATCTTTACAAGTGAAGGAGGGTCGTTTGATCACCTCCCCATTCGGAAATTTAAATTTAAAATCAAGTGTCTTCAGACATTTAGCTTTCAGATGTTTGACATGTGGCAAAAAAGTAAGATGCTGATGAAGAATCATTCTAAAAAATTTGGATTCCTTTACAACTTTCATGGGAGTGCCTGCTAGATTTAAGTCTGGGTCACTATGGGGTATATATTGTCGACAGAATAGAACTTGAGGCCGGTTATGCTGTGACCAACCATTGACTGTATTTAGACAAAGCTGCAACTGTCTTTCAATTGTGTGCATATATATATGTAACAATGTTTCTAAGCATGCCTCGGGTATATGTTTGAGTGATAGATAGCGAATATTATCAGCACAAGTAGCAGTATCATGCGCTTGCTCTAAGGCGGTGTGCAACTCATAAAGAAGGTTTGTTTGTTGTTTTACGCTGCACTCAGCAATATTCCAGCTATATGACGGCGGTCTGTAAATAATCCAGTCTTGACCAGACAATCCAGTGAGTGGAATCCTGAGCATCGATCCACGCAATTGGGATTGATGACATGCATCAACCAAGTCAGCGAGCCTGACCACCCGATCCCGTTAGTCGCCTTTTACGACAAGCATAGTCGCCTTTTACGGTAAGCATGGGTTACTGAAGACCTATTCTACCCCGGAATCTTCACGGGTCTCATAAAGAGGATGAGACATTCACCATTTGAGGTCAGGTGACATGAATGTTTGTAGAATTTCGAAATGACATGCTCATTAATCTACGGAGTCTTCGGATATATGCTACTTATTTTATCAGAGAGCTTTTAGTATCATGGGGAAAATGTAATTGGCATAATGCAGCATAATATTGATACAATCATACAGAATGTATTGATGGCCCAATGGTCTTATTCCTAGGTCCCCAAAATCCCCCTACAGAGTTGTGCCTCTGACCAGTACCAGGTTGATTAGTATCCGTATGTGAGTGATGCTCACTGTATTGACCATTGGTTGGCTCAGGTTGCATATGCTGAGGATGCATGGAATGTTCAGGTATTCTCAGATTTCTTTGAGTGGCATCTGAGTGACATCAGCTTGCAGCATGGCTCTCAGATGCCACTTAAGGAAATCTGAGAGCCATGCTGCAACCTGATGTTCAGGGTGAGTGAGTTTAATTAAAGTCATGTCGCCAATATATCAGCCGTCAAGTGACTTGAACAAGTTATACAATAGTTATAAAACTGTCGACGAGGGACACTATAATAACTTGCAATATATCACAGATTGACTTAAAACTAGTTGTAGAACATTAAAAATATCTGATTATTGAGGTACGACACAATATAAAACTGGGGCTACAGATCGCCAGCAACAAGGTTAAGGTCACCATACTGGGGACCAAGGGGACTTACGATACCTCTGCTGCCTGCATGGTTCCCTGATGTCAGGGGTGTACCAGATTTATCCTGATCAAGATCCTTGATTTGTCACCCCCATGCCCATGCTCTTAAGTCACAAAATCTTTCATAAGAGTAAACAAAACTTATCCACGCTCAATGTTCAAAGTCAAACTGCACACATTGTTGGTATTAGCTTGGCCAATGTTGACCTCATAGCCGACATATTGATGACTATGACATTTATTTTCACACTAGGTTATACCTGTTATGTCATAATGTCATGATGATATATATAAACAGCGATTCGTTGTATACATATGAACAATTGTGATAAATGTAAGCGTTTGATTTGTTAACTTTTGTAAAAGATGGAAGAATAATGAATTACCCATTGAACCTTTGAACTTGTTGAAACAAAAATATTTCATTTACGTATTTGGGGATACGTCTTCGGAAATGATCATTTCCATTTGCATAATAAAGCATTTGACAGAAATATTGTTTTAATTATTTTAAGATATCATCCCATGGAGATATAGACCACCGCCGTGGTCTTTAAGATAGAGCATCTCCCCGGAAATTGGTCGGCTCGGAGTCAGTACACTGTGTCTGAGGGGGGCATGGGTGGCCCAGTCGTCTGAGGCGCCGCGATTCGCTGTGTAGAGTTGCGTCCCTTGGGCACGCCAGAAACCTATGATTGTGGGTTCGAATCCCGGTTCGCCCCGATTGTGTTTCTAGGTTTGTCAGCACCATACCCGTGCTCGTGGGTTTCACCGAAGTGGTAAACGTCTGAGACCTGCATCATCTGGGGCTTTCCTCCCACATTAAGCTGACACGCCGTGATATAACTGGAATACTTTTGAAAGCGGCGTTAAACCCAACTCACTCACTCTGAGAGGGCATCCATGCATCTCATGGTATCTCAGTGGGCTAGCACTATACAACCGGCATTTGTCCAGACTAATACAAGCAGCCACACACACGTGCATGCCCATGTGGGAGTGTTGCTATATACGCACATTAATCTTGAACGCGACATTTTAAAGCCCCATATCACCTCACTTCACCCGGGTAGAATAGCTCCTCAGGTTACCATTCTTTGTGTAAGAGTTGAGGAAAATGAATTATATAGTGACAATGTGTGACCTGACTAATTCATGTAGTAGTATACCTGTAGGGTCATACATTGTTCATGTTATCAACCACTGGTCTCTTGGCTCAGAGACAGTGGTGTACAGACCTCTGTGAGTGAGTGAGTATTGTTTTACGCCGCTTTTAATATTCCATCAATATTCCAACAATATCACGGCTTCAGACATTGTACCCCTATCGGGGAATCGAACCCGGTTCTTCCGTCTGACGAGCGAACGCTTTAACCACTAGACTGCCTGACCTCCTCAGACCTCTGTGACACAGCTAAGTAAGTAAGTAAGTAAGTAAGTAAGTAAGTCACTTGCTTGAGAGCGGTGTTAGAACCTACACCGAAACGTCGCTCCTGATTGTATTAAAGAAGTTGTTCATCCACAAATCTTATCCTTACTTAGTACTCCAACATCAATGCCTCTCAAAGAAGCCATTTAGAGCTGTGCCATGAATAATAAAGCACAGTGCCTGTGGACATGTGACATATTCGATGCATTCGCACTCAATATGTCTTCTGGTATTTATTTACGGATGAACAGTAGCATGACACAACATCGTCGGTAAATGTAACACAATAATACGACATTGACGTTGCATAATTATCAGCGAGAAGATTTGTTCAGTTCAATCCGAAAACGATGAAGAAATTGTTTAGTTTTTGGTTAGTAAGTTTAACTATCACATCACAAAATATCACAAAATATATACTACCCGTGAAGATCCGGGGTAGAGCAGGTCTTCAGCAACCCAAGCTTGCCGTGAAAGTTGACTATGCTTGTCGACAGAGGCGACTAACGGGATCGGGTGGTCAGGCTGGCTGACTTGGTTGATGCATGTCATTGATCCCAATTGCGTGGGTCGATGCTCATGATATTAATCACTGGATTGTCTGGTCCAGATTCGATTATTCGCAGACCGCCGTCATATAGCTTGAATATTGCTGAGTGCGGCGTAAAACAAGCAACCAACCAACCAAAACAACAACAAAAAACCTCTGAGAATGCCATGGACGATCGGTCATCTTTCTTTAATCGATTGATGCATCTGTAAAATCACTTGCAACGCTCCTTCCTGGACGGCTGAGAGACAATGCACCGAACGAAGCATCGCGCGGCCGACGTTTTCGTTTTCATAAAACTGGAAACAGAGGCAGATGCATATTATGTGTGTCATGAGGCTGTCAAGTATGGAATACTGTAAGGGA